GAGTATATCGGTAGCTGTATCCCTTGTATCTGTTTTGGAGTATATCAGTAGCGGTATCCCTTGTATCTGTTTTGGAGTATATCGGTAGCTGTATCCCTTGTATATGTTTTGGAGTATATCGGTAGCTGTATCCCTTGTATCTGTTTTGGAGTATATTGGTAGCTGTATCCCTTGTATCTGTTTAATTCTAGGATTTATTTCTAGTATGCTACAGGGAGTCCAACACCGACATAGAAGGTTTCTTTGCCAAGTTGCTTAAATTATATATTCTTTTATTATCTGTAACACGGCCTATAGCACCGATATTAGACTTTTTCTCATCACGTTTGTTGAACATTTTCATTTATAAGTCTTAAAATCCCCTCTCTAAACACTTCCTCATGGAGAGAGGTCCTAGTAAGTTGTAAGAACTTGTGCCCAGTCCCTATGACTGTTTAATGTCAATTAAATAGGCTTGAATGAAAAAATGAATGAAACACTTCCTTACCAATTAATAACACTGAACGTACCATTCAGTGTTATAATTTGCCATGCGTCAAAATCCGGCATTCGATGACCTCTTTATGGATTCGGTTAATAAACATCTGTTTAACAGGGCGTCTAACCCCGATGTCCGAGCTTTTCTGACCAACGTCTTAGGTTTAAATGCCTCCGACTTTTCTGGCTTAGAGCAGTACTATATCCGACGGGTCCTCGACATTGTGTCCAAGACTCACAAGAAAACCATCATATGGGAGGACCCTATAGAAAAGGGGCTGAAGGTAAGCAATTAAGAGGATTTTGTGAGTACTGATTACTTTGATACAAATTTAATGATCATATACAAAACTTACTGACTATCAATCTAAAGCGCTTTACATCTATGGCTTTGAGATGAAAAATATGACAAACGGATTCAAATAAGTTAATCCTAAAACAGTACATAATTAAATGTTTGAAGTTCATTTAGGGGTATCCAAGTTACATTTGGGGGTATCCCAGTTACAAATGGTTTAAAGAGGTTGGTTTTCAGATGATTTAACTATTCAAATGACCTCGTGAAGGTTGGGAGTCTTTTCCATAATCAGTCTATTTGTTAAACCACCAGTTACCGCGACGATGGTTGTTTAGGAAAGTTACCATCGCACCAGACTTCAGCCCGACAGTATTTTTACATTTTTTTACAATTAAACGGCTTTAAAATCACATAATTTAAAAGTTCGCTTGTTTAATTTGTCCGGAAAATATAAGAGTTTTATCTTCTAAATATTTTAATAACGCGAAAATGATACCTCGAAAAACACAGTTTTTATAACAGAATTTATAGTATCTAGACATATATTTATATAATAGATTACATGTGTTGTTTCTCTCCTTGTGTGCTGATAGTGTGTTGTTTCTCTCCTTGTGTGCTGATAATGTGTTGTTTCTCTCCTTGTGTGCTGATAGTGTGTTAATTCTCTCCTTGTGTTCTGATACTGTGTTGTTTCTCTCCTTGTGTGCTGATACTGTGTTGTTTCTCTCCTTGTGTTCTGATACAGTGTTGTTTCTCTCCTTGTGTGCTGATACTGGGTTGTTTCTCTCGTTGTGTGCTGATAGTGTGTTGTTTCTCTCCTTGTGTGATGAAACTGGGTTGGTTCTCTCCTTGTGTGCTGATATTGTGTTGTTTCTCTCCTTGTGTGCTGATAATGGGTTGTTTCTCTCCTTGTGTGCTGATACTGGGTTGATTCTCTCCTTGTGTGCTGATAGTGTGTTGTTTCTCTCCTTGGGTGCTGATAATGTGTTGTTTCTCTCCTTGTGTGCTGATATTGTGTTGTTTCTCTCCTTGTGTTCTGATACTGTGTTGTTTCTCTCCTTGTGTGCTGATAGTGTGTTGTTTCTCTCCTTGTGTGCTGATAGTGTGTTGTTTCTCTCCTTGTGTGATGAAACTGGGTTGGNTCTCTCCTTGTGTGCTGATAGTGTGTTGTTTCTCTCCTTGTGTGCTGATACTGTGTTGTTTCTCTCCTTGTGTGCTGATAGTGTGTTGATTCTCTCCTTGTGTGCTGATAGTGTGTTGTTTCTCTCCTTGTTCGCTGATACTGTGTTGTTTCTCTCCTTGTGTGCTGATACTGTGTTGTTTCTCTCCTTGTCAGCTGATACTGGGTTGTTTCTCTCCTTGTGTGATGATACTGTGTTGTTTCTCTTCTTGTGTTCTGATACAGTGTTGTTTCTCTCCTTGTTCGCTGATACTGTGATGTTTCTCTCCTTGTGTTCTGATACAGTGTTGTTTCTCTCCTTGTCAGCTGATAGTGTGTTGATTCTCTCCTTGTGTGCTGATAGTGTGTTGTTTCTCTCCTTGTGTTCGGATACTGTGTTGTTTCTCTCCTTGTGTGCTGATACTGTGTTGTTTCTCTCCTTGTGCGTTGATACTGGGTTGATTCTCTCCTTTTGTGCTGATAATGGGTTGATTCTCTCCTTGTGTGCTGATACTGTGTTGTTTCTCTCCTTGTGTTCTGATACTGTGTTGTTTCTCTCCTTGTGTGCTGATAGTGTGTTGTTTCTCTCCTTTAGTGCTGATACTGGGTTGTTTCTCTCCTTGTGTGCTAATAGTGTGTTGTTTCTCTGCTTGTGTGCTGATACTGTGGTAGCTTTGGTCCCCGAGGTGTCATCAGTGTAGATCGGCTTTACGTTTGTAATCGTTACATGTAAAAGGCAGACAAGGATGTTTTGGTGGAGGTGTGGAGAAACGAACAGAATTGGACCAACAACATGGAGGAAGTAATCCAGAGAGGGTATTCGGCCATCCTTTCCTCATGTTGGTATCTTAACTACATTAGCTACGGTCAGGACTGGCGACAATACTATAGCTGTGATCCACACCACTTCAATGGTACAGATTAATTTTCGCGTATACTTATGTTATATGGATATCTGAAAGTTTCCTCACCTTATTGAATATTGATGGATAAATGCACACATTTCTTTACCTTTATGAACTAGACTCTTTTGTTTTTGTCTTCTCTTTTACGTTTTGTTTTATTTTAAAATGGTGGTCTGCACAGTTATGGTCCCCTTTGTGGACAACCTTAGCTATTGCAAATCCATAAAAAAAATGTTGGAATCAATACATTGCGCACTCTTAGAAACAAATATACTGTTGTCCTAGAGTAACAGAATTTCATTGTGAGCTAAGCCATTATGTAGCCTTCAATTATATACTGACCACATGTTACAGGAACGACACAGGAAAAAGCACGCGTTGTAGGAGGAGAGGCGTGTGTGTGGTCAGAATACATTGACGCAACCAACCTTCTCTCCAGGCTTTGGTAGTTCCCTTTATTATCACGTAAACAAACTTCTCTCCAGACTTTGGTAGTTCCCTTTATTATCACGTAAACAAACTTCTCTCCAGACTTTGGTAGTTCCCTTTATTATCACGTAAACAACCTTCTCTCCAGGCTTTGGTAATTCCCTTTATTATCACGTAAACAACCTTCTCTCCAGGCTTTGGTAATTCCCTTTATTATCACGTAAACAAACTTCTCTCGAAGCTTTGGTACTTCCCTTTATTAACACGTAAACAACCTTCTCTCCAGGCTTTGGTAATTCCCTTTATTATCACGTAAACAAACTTCTCTCCAGACTTTGGTAGTTCCCTTTATTATCACGTAAACAAACTTACTAATCTTAACTTAAGAATAACTATCCAAATGCAGGTAAAATACCATTGTAAATTTCAAACATGCGGTATCTTTCGTTGAATTTCAATGTTGATGTAACTGTAGAGTAAATAGGCGAAGAAACTATTGCAGATCTTATAGCTGATTTGGTTAGAACGACCGCATTGTGATGGGAACTCCAGTGTTCGAATCTCATTCTGGCCCAATGGTATTATTTATCTGGGAACACTGTTGAGGATTTTATTTCGTCTTCATTACTTTTGGTAAAATTTCCGCATCGCTTTTTTTTCAAAAATGATTTATCAAAGCTATTGTCATGCAAACAAAAACAAGTTTGCAATTCTGTTTTTCCAGTTTAGGCAGTGATACAGGGATCCTGATACACACGCAGTTACGTTTCCGGATAAAAAAAATTAGGATGTCTTTTGTTTTGTTTTGACGACTCCTCAACTTTCTTTTAATATTATTCAGTACTAATAGACTTTTTATTTACTTAAATATGATAACGTAACATTTTCAGAAACGGGAGCTTTGTTTGAATAAGATTTTCTTGAAAAGAAAGCGAAGCGTGTCTTTCCCACAAGACAGGGTTTTGCGATAACTTTCCGTTTACTATGAGACTGTATTGTTTTACTCTAAAAAAAGGGAGCGAAGTGAAGTTTTTAAGAAAATATAATGATTAAAATATCAAAATGAACCACGCAACTATGACGACACTAGTATTACGACTGAGTATAACATATGAAACAGTTTCGTAGGAAATCGCTAAAAAAACAATTTCTTTTTATGTAAATAAATATCAAATAACAATGTAATTAAAATTTGTTGAAAACAAATTAGAATAATTTTACATTTACAAATGCAGGCCTCGCGCGTCCGCCGTAGCCGAGAGATTGTGGAGTCCGGGCCACATCAACAATACAGACGACGCATCTTTCCGACTAGACCAGCAGAGGTGTCGGATGGTCAGGTAAGGCACGCGTATAAAATGTTCAGAAACTACACGCATATAGCATGGTCAGATAAAACAGGTGTACAAAATGGTCAGAAAGTACACGTGTATAGGATGGTCAGAAAGTACATTTGTATAGGATGACCAAAAATTACACTTGTATAGGATGGTCAGAAAGTACACTTGTATAGGATGGTCAGAAAGTACACTTGTATAGGATGGTCAGAAAGTACAGTTGTATAGGATGGTCAGAAAGTACACTTGTATAGGATGGTCAGAAAGTACAGTTGTATAGGATGGTCAGAAAGTACACTTGTATAGGATGGCCAAAAAGTACACTTGCATAGGATGGTCAGAAAGTACATGCGTATAGGATGGCCAGAAAGTACATTTGTATAGGATGGCCAAAAAGTACATTTGTATAGGATGGCCAGAAAGTACACTTGCATAGGATGGCCAGAAAGTACACTTGTATAGGATGGCCAGAAAGTACACTTGTATAGGATGGCCAGAAAGTACATTTGTATAGGATGGTCAGAAAGTACATTTGTATAGGATGGCCAGAGAGTACATTTGTATAGGATTGCCAGAAAGTACACTTGTATAGGATGGCCAAAAAGTACACTTGCATAGGATGGTCAGAAAGTACATGTTTATAGGATGGCCAGAAAGTACATTTGTATAGGATTGCCAGAAAGTACACTTGTATAGGATGGCCAAAAAGTACACTTGCATAGGATGGTCAGAAAGTACATGTGCATAGGATGGCCAGAAAGTACATTTGTATAGGATGGTCAGAAAGTACATTTGTATAGGATGGCCAGAGAGTACATTTGTATAGGATTGCCAGAAAGTACACTTGCATGGGATGGTCAGAAAGTACATGTGTATAGGATGGTCAGAAAGTACATTTGTATAGGATGGCCAGAGAGTACATTTGTATAGGATTGCCAGAAAGTACACTTGTATAGGATGGCCAAAAAGTACACTTGCATAGGATGGTCAGAAAGTACACTTGTATAGGATGGTAAGAAAGTACACTTGTATAGGATGCTCAAAAAGTACACTTGTATAGGATGGCCAAAAACTACACTTGCATAGGATGGTCAGAAAGTACACTCATATAGGATGGTCAGAAAATACACGTGTATAGGATGTCCAGATAAGAAAGGTGTTTAGGATGCTCTGGATGTGTATAAATAGAATTGTCGGGAAGGAAATGTAAATAAGATAATCAAGTATTACACGTGTATAGGATGGTCGGAAAGTGCAAGTGTATAGGATGGCCAGAAAGAACATTTGTATAGGATGGTCAGAAAGTACATGTGTATAGAATGGCCAGAAAGTACACTTGTTTAGGATGGACAGAAAGAACACTTGTTTAGGATGGTCAGAAAGTACACTTGTATTGGATGCTCAGAAAGTACACTTGTATAGGATGTTCAGAAAGTACACTTGTATAGGATGGCCAGAAAGAACATTTGTATAGGATGGGCAGAAAGTACATTTGTATAGGATTGCCAGAAAGTACACTTGCATAGGATGGTCAGGAAGTACATGTGTATAGGATGGCCAAAAAGTACACTTGCATAGGATGGTCGGAAAGTACATGTGTATAGGATGGTCAGAAAGTACAGTTGTATAGGATGGTCAGAAAGTACATGCGTATAGGATGGCCAGAAAGTACACGTGTACAGGATGTCCAGATAAGAAAGGTGTTTAGGATGCTCTGGATGTGTATAAATAGAATTGTCGGGAAGGAAATGTAAATAAGATAATCAAGTATTACACGTGTATAGGATGGTCGGAAAGTGCAAGTGTATAGGATGGCCAGAAAGTACAATTGTATAGGATGGCCAGAGAGTACTTTTGTATAAGATGGCAAGAAAGAAGATGTGTATAGGATGGTCAGAAAGTACCCTTGTATAGGATGGTCAGAAAGTACATGTGCATAGGATGGCCAGAAAGTACATTTGAATAGGATGGCCAGAGAGTACATTTGTATAGGATTGCCAGAAAGTACACTTGCATAGGATGGACAGAAAGTACATGTGTATAGGATCGCCAGAAAGTACATTTGTATAGGATTGCCAGAAAGTACACTTGTATAGGATGGCCAAGAAGTACACTTGCATAGGATGGTCATAAAGTACATGTGTATAGGATGGCTAGAAAGTACATTTGTATAGGATGTCAAGAAAGTACAAGTGTATAGGATGGTCAGAAAGTACATGTGGATAGGATGGCCAGAAAGTACATTTGAATAGGATGGCCAGAGAGTACATTTGTATAGGATTGCCAGAAAGAACCTTTGTATAGGATGGCCAGAAAGAACATTTGTATAGGATGGTCAGAAAGTACACGTGTATAGGATGGCTAGAAAGTACACTTGTATAGGATGGCCAAGAAGTACACTTGCATAGGATGGTCATAAAGTACATGTGTATAGGATGGCTAGAAAGTACACTTGTATAGGATGCTCAAAAAGTACACTTGTATAGGATGGTAAGAAAGTACACTTGTATAGGATGTTCAGAAAGTACACTTGTATAGGATGGGCAGAAAGTACATTTGTATAGGATTGCCAGAAAGTACACTTGCATAGGATGGTCAGGAAGTACATGTGTATAGGATGGCCAAAAAGTACATTTGTATAGGATGGCCAAAAAGTAGATTTGTATAGGATGGCCAGAAAGTAAACTTGTATAGGATGAAAAGAAAGTACATTTGTATAGGATGGCCAAAAAGTACATTTGTATAGGATGGCCAAAAAGTACATTTGTATAGGATGGCCAAAAAGTACATTTGTATAGGATGACCAGAGAGTACATTTGTATAGGATTGCCAGAAAGTACACTTGCATAAGATGGTCAGAAAGTAGATGTGTATAGGATGGCCAGAAAGTACAATTGTATAGGATGGTCAGAAAGTACAAGTGTATAGGATGGTCAGAAAGTACATGCGTATAGGATGGCCAGAAAGTACACTTGTTTAGGATGGACAGAAAGAACACTTGTTTAGGATGGCCAGAAAGTGCATTTGTATAGGATGTCAAGAAAGTACAAGTGTATAGGATGGTCGGAAAGTACATGTGTATAGGATGGACAGAAAGTACATTTGTATAGGATTGCTAGAAAGTACACTTGTATAGGATGCTCAAAAAGTACACTTGTATAGGATGGCAATCCTATACGTGTATAGGATGGCCAGAAAGTACACGTGTATAGGATGTCCAGATAGGAAAAGTGTTTAGGATGCTCTGGAGATCTGTATAAATAGAATTGTCAGGAAGGAAATGTTAATAAGGTAATCAAGTATTACACGTGTATAGGATGGTCAGAAAGTACACGTGTATAGGATGGCTAGAAAGTACATTTGTATAGGATGACCAGAGAGTACATTTGTATAGGATTGCCAGAAAGAACCTTTGTATAGGATGGCCAGAAAGAACATTTGTATAGGATGGTCAGAAAGTACCCTTGTATAGGATGGTCAGAAAGTACCCTTGTATAGGATGGCCAGAGAGTACATTTGTATAGGATTGCTAGAAAGTACACTTGTATAGGATGGTCAGAAAGTACATGTGTATAGGATGGCCAGAAAGTACATTTGTATAGGATGACCAAAAAGTGCACTTGTATAGGATGGTCAGAAAGTTCACTTGTATAGGATGGTCAGAAAGTACACGTGTATAGGATGGCCAGAAAGTACACTTGTATAGGATGGACAGAAAGTACACTTGTATAGTATGGCAAGAAAGAACATGTGTATAGGACGGCTAGAAAGTACACTTGGATATGATGGCCAGGAAGTACATTTGTATTGGATAGCAAAAAAGTACATTTGTAAAGGATAGTCAGAAAGAACATGTGTATTGGATGGCCATAAACTACATTTGCATAGGATGGTCAGAAAAAACATGTGTATAGGATGGCCAGAAAGTCCATATGTCTAGGATGACCAAAAAGTGCACTTGTGTAGGATGGGCAGAAAGTTCACTTGTATAGGATGGTCAGAAAGTACAGGTGTATAGGATGGCCAGAAAGTACACGTGTATAGGATGGCTAGGAAGTACATTTGTATAGGATGGCCAGATAGTACACTTGTATAGGATGGCCAGAGAGTACATCTGTATAGTATGGTCAGAAAGTACACTTGTTTAGGATGGCCAGAAGGTACATTTGTATAGGATGGTCAGAAAGTACAATTGTTTAGAATGGCCAGAAAGTACACTTGTTTAGGATGGACAGAAAGAACACTTGTTTAGGATGGCCAGAAAGTACACCTGTTTTGGATGGCCAGAAAGTACACTTGTATAGGATGGACAGAAAGTACACTTGTATAGTATGGCAAGAAAGAACATGTGTATAGGATGGGCAGAAAGTACACTTGTTTAGGATGGCCAGAAAGTACATTTGTATAGGATGTCAAGAAAGTACAAGTGTATAGGATGGTCAGAAAGTACATGTGTATGGGATGGCCAGACAGTACACTTGTATAGGACTTGTATAGGATGGTCAGAAAGTTCACTTGAATAGGATGGTCAGAAAGTACACGTGTATAGGATGTCCAGATAGGAAAAGTGTTTAGGATGCTCTGGAGATCTGTATAAATAGAATTGTCAGGAAGGAAATGTAAATAAGGTAATCAAGTATTACACGTGTATAGGATGGTCAGAAAGTACAATTGTTTAGAATGGCCAGAAAGTACACTTGTTTAGGATGGCCAGAAGGTACATTTGTATAGGATGGGCAGAAAGTACACTTGTTTAGGATGGCCAGAAGGTACATTTGTATAGGATGGTCAGAAAGAGATAGATGTATAGGATGGACGGGAAGTTTACGTTTATAGGGTGATCATGTACGAAATGTGAATAAGATGGTCAGGTAATATACGTGTGTACTTAAGCTTTGTTCAGGTAAGATATGTGTGGTGAGGAGAAAGGGTAGAACTTACATAGTGCATACATTAGATGTCGACACCAGGGTCACATAATGTAACCTGGTATCGTTTTTTAAAGATAAAACCTAGGTTACTAACGTAATGTTTCACTTCGCCTCCGTACACTTTGACTGTTACAAGAATGATAAAACAGTTCCGGGATACGTTGGAATCTTATTGAAATAGAAAGCAGATCGCATCTCCAAGGGAGGTTATTTCTGTTCATTTCATTTCGCACTTAAAATAGCTTGTTATAATTCGGTTTTCTAGTGTTCTCATGGGAAAATAATGGTAATCAAGGGATACAGCAATGGTCCAACCATTAACTTGGATCAATCTACAATTTATTTTTTGTGGATCCTTATCAACTGTATTGCTATTAACATGGGTCCCACAATGTTAAATGAAAGCATTTCAAGATGAGTCCCATCAAAATTCTATGAGTATTGGACTCGGGACTCATAATGTAGATTTATCAAAGCTAGGTATGTATGTAAATAGGGAATGAGCTTTAGAAAAGTTGCGTAGATTGTGATGATAGATCATTAAGAATGTAATAAATGAATAAAAAAAATATATTATCATCCTCGGAAAAGCGAGGGGTGGTTAACTATTACTAGGAAACTGTTATGTCGTTATGCATTTACAAAACGAATAGTTTGTAAGTTATCAACGCTTTTGATGACCGTTGTTGTAAAATGTATACTTGTTAAGGTGTATTTTATTTATTCAGCTCAAAGTTCGTTTAAGAACATTTTGTAGATAAAAACTTATGTAAATACGGAAAATATTTTGTATAATGATATTTAGTTATTAAGCTCGTTTTTGCCGATTTTCAAACGGTCTGCTGTCATTTACGTTTCTTTGAACTACAGATGTGTTCACTTTGTATGGCTGTATGTCTTGCTGACCACGAACCGGCTTAATGAGGTTGATAAAAATTAACAAAAACAATAAAATAGGGGTGGGGCCCGGTAAGGGGTGGACAGGGGAGGTGTTAAATGATGTCTTTCCAATGTTCTTTTTATAGTCTTCTTTATAATGGAATACTGAAGTTATTTTTTCCCTTTAGTTAATGGTGTGGTATGTTTTGTTTTTATTTTAATTTATTTGTGGTAATGTTTAGGCGAGGCATCCCTGCTGAACCAATCCTGAACGGTTTCTGTGGTGATTACGACCTGGGAATGGAGACTGAAGCAGTTCAACCAAGCAATATTTGTACAAACACCGCAACTACAGTCCCCAAAAGCAACATTGTACTCACTGTCATAGGAGTATCCGTGTTACTACAAACAGTTCGTATTCTCCGTGTTGACTGATTAAGAAAATACTGTGTTTCCAACCATTCTATCGAACTGCATGGAATGTGATTTTAAAATATATGCCCGATGATCCATGGGAAAACTCTTATACGTGTATTAGAAATTCATGCTTCCATAATACACACAGGGCACCTTGCATTTCTGTGTTATATTATGGTATTTTTTGTTTTCTTTGAATGGATACACGTGAATGATAATATTTTAGCATCAATATGTAGAACTTATTGTCTATCACAAAGGTCCTACAGGGCACGTACTCAAATACATGTAAATATCACAGTCACTCTCGATCTAAGCTTTCGGGTATAACCTTTCATCAGGGACCATTCACTCCCTGAAGTGCTCAGCTCTAAGGCTTAGATCGAGGACGAATGTTGGCATAATTCTCATTTAAAGAATGAATGATTAGTACAAAGTAGTAAACAGAATTAATGTTATTTTATTTTGACTCTTTTGTGTTAAAATAAGAGATAGACTATATCATGTTTTTCTTCATTCTAATGTGACTCAATGTTTCGCAATTCTGAATACTTATTCAAGAAAATATTAAAAACAATCGAATAAAATATGTTGAATGTAAATAGTATTAATTTTATAAAAAAAAATACAGTGAATATGATTAGTGTTGATTTGGCAATAAATTATACTGAACTTGAAAATGTGTTGACTTAGCAATTAATAATATAAAATATGAGTAATGTTGATGAGGAAACAAATTGTAATATGTGATAGGAAGCTTTGATTAGACAGTAACACGTAACATGAATTTACATTCTTTAGACCGTAGAAACACTGATGAGTCCTATGGGATATGGCCATGGGTTTGATACAGCTTACCTTCCTTAGCTGGAAGATTTGAGACATTGACTGGAAGATTTGAGACACAACGCGAAGAAGTTATGAGTTCAAATTACTGTACGTAGATGAGATGTTGTTATCACCTGTACATGTACATGACATGTGACTGTGATTTAAATCTATGAATAAACGATGGCTGTTGCCAACTATTACGCGTGTTTACGGCTACTGTGTCACATTTTGTGATTGACGGATTCGGGATGTGTCCAGAAGCAGTAGACAGGTGATCGTCAATTACTATAAGGTTTTTACTATAATGATTTATGAAACTATCCTGATCCAAGACCAATTGGATACTCTGAAGGAGTTAAGGAGTTTCGACTGCAGGCTTGGTCGTTGTTCTGATGATGTCACGGAGGGGCTGATAACGTGTGTAGAGTCATACGATCCTGTGTGGAGGAGATGATATCTTGGTCAGACTCTGCTCCAGAACATTTTGACCATGATATGTCCTCTTCCACAGAGGATCGTATGGCTCTACAAACGTTGGCAGTCTGATCAGGTATTCCGCTTCCAGTGAAGTGGGAAAATGATGTCCAGAAAATGACTCTCCAAAAAGAAAACTAAAGTAAGCGAGTGAGGATAAACCTGTGAAAGAATTGGGTCTATTTTCATGATTTGGAGCTAAGTGACGAATCGGAAGAGCATGAAGCGCTTGTAATATGATAATGGACAAAGTAGAGTCTGTTAACGAGGCAGAATGGAATCAAAAGTATGACAAATACGTCAATGAAGGAATGTCTGAAGAAGAAGCACAAGAGAAAACAGGGGAGAAAATGACTGTTGAAGACATGAAACAATTCGAGGAGAACTACGGGTCCATTATCCAATACATTCTTTAGTTACATAACCGATCAATAAGAAACAAGATTCAGATCCAAGGAAGTTACCACACTCTTGAATGAATATCACATCAGACTTCTTTATGCCCAAAAACGAAACCAAAGCTGCCGTGGCCTAGCGTGTCATTAAGACCATTTAGTCAAGAAGATATTGATATATCACGAACAGATCTAGATTTTAGGAACTATGAAAACCTGATCGACATCTAGTGACAGATGTTCTGGCCAAAGACAAAAATCATGACCGGCAGTCATACAAAAAATAAAAAGTCTGTAAACCGTTCAAGTTTACGGTGATAGACAATTAAGGTCCGATTGTCACATCTCGGGAAGCCATTCACGCGGGAATACGACAAGAACTGGAAGGAGAAATACTTACAATGTACCATTGTTTACATGCTGAGGTAAGGATTGCGATGGGGACGAAATTAAAGGTACTTCCTACAGAAAGTTGACGTAAGGGAAGATGACAAGAGGAAAAGACCGTAACAAGCAACGCTATGTAAAATAGCTTCATTAGCTAAAGATATTAAACTCGTGCAAATGCGCATCTGATGAAACACTGCTGTACAAATCGATTTGTAGTAGAGTGAACTATTCTAGAAAAGTCTAATATCAGGACCCTGCGTCGTACAAAATGTATGAGAAAGAACATATAACCAAAGCCAGATCACTCTAGTACTATAGCATTGGTGGTAGGCGACTCTCATGTAGATGTAAATATTGATAGGCTACTTTCCACGCTAGAGTAGGTTTTTCATTGTAAGAATTGATGTGGGGTGGCTCTCCGATCTACGGTCATTTCATAATGACAAGGAAATAAAATGTTGGACCCATATCCGTCTATTTGTTGTCGTTTTGACATATAAAAGGAGCTTAGAAGGTTCTAGAAAAAACACGTTGATCCGGTCGGAACCGGTTTCGATATTTTTAAACGTGATGCAATCGGATACTCCTCCTACTGAAGGGGAGTGCCATAAATAGAACTTGTATAGAAACCAGTAAACCAGCGTTATGGCGAAGTGTGCCTTCGTAACAGATTCGAGAGATAGTAATATGTTTTGATTTTTATGGAACACGTCTTTTGAAAAGAGCTGAAACAATGGTTAAAATGGCGATATTAAGTTTAACTTCCTGGGACCCTTTACCTTAAGCGTGCAGCTAAAAATGGACAATTTTTGTGCCTTGTGACAAATATTGAGTGGCAGTGGTACATGTGTAACAGGAATGACTCAGAGTTATTTCCCCTGTTACTTGTAAATGATGTGTATCATGAATATTTTGTAAATAGTGTGATGAAACATAACTATATGTAGATTGGGTGTTTTGTAGAATATTGTTCCAGTAATGAAATAAATGTATAGAATGCAGTAATATAAAATGGAATGAAGAATAAGATCAATCGATCACTTCTCATTGTACGTTATGCAAATTAACAATGCACCATTTATTGAATATGCATTTTAGAATATAGTGAGTACGTTTGTACATCAAAGTTGGACAAAATTCTAGCTTTGATCCTGAGTAACAAAAGCATTGAACTGTTCAATTGACTTAATAGGGAATCCGTTATGGGGTCTTATGATAATTAAGGAGGAGTTGACCGTTTTACATTGAATGATCTTGTTAAGAGTTGTGATAAGAGTAGTGTATTAAAGAGAGGAACTCTGGGTTGACAGTTGCACTTGGAAAGTGGCGCTGATAACCTTTTGTGTAAGTGTGTATACATGATATCACTCTTTTTCAAAGTATCTTGGAAGGTTTATATGTGTCATCTACCAGTGTTACAACTCAGTCCGTTAGTATCAGCAGTGCTGTGACGAGTTCGTGTTATGTTGTTAGCACAGGTTTTGAATATATCCCAAGTGTGCCTAGCATTTCATGCAGTACTGGCAGTATCTGTGTAAGGAAAGAGAAGGAATGTCAACGTTATATGATGGTCCTTATAGTCAGTTGAAGATTTCCTGGCTCATTTGAGCAGGTCTCTAGATTGAACCGATGGAGTGATTTAGAGAAAGCTTCCCAGTTAGCCATGTCTTAAGATGGTAGTGCTTGAGGTATTCTGTATGGTTTGACTTATGAGGACGCTCATAGTTTTGCTCATATCAGAGATGCTTTATTTCACCAGTTTGAACCTTCGAGTTTAGAAACAGTTTACAGGAACGATTTCAAGCACGTGAGCTATCTTGCAAGTGAAACCTTATCAGAGTATGGTTGGCGGGCCTAGAAGACTATGAAATGAGAAAACATGTTTGTTTGCACCAACCAACATCGATAGATGAAGCAATACGACTGGGTAACCAGTATGAAGGTTTTGAGAAAACGTTCAAATCTGAAAGGTGTTGTCAATATTTTGATTTCCAAGGTAGAGGCATTGGCCAAGAACATATTGTGTCCTGGAAATAGGAAACATCCTCACAGAAAACGGCTATGCTGTAGTTGTAGAGTTGAAGGTCACATGGCTAGTCAGTGTCCAAATGGTGTTACTGGTGGAGTTGTATTGTTTTAGTGAGATTTTATTAGTCTTAGAACGGAAGATGTACTAATAATATCTGGGTCCAAGACTGAGTATGTGTTGAGTTTTTAGTTTGTAGTGGTGTTCTATGTGGGCATTCATATCTTTGGTTCTTTGTGAACTTTGATTTGTGTGGGCACACATATTTCAGTTCTCTGTGAACTTTGTATTGATCTGTGTGGTCATGGTGTTCTTTGTGAGCAGTAGTATGCTGTGTGTTCACTTTGTAGGCCTGTGTTCTATGTGTACTTTTATTATCAGTTATATCAGATTGAGGGAAGTGTGGTCCCACAGTTCTATCTGGATTGATGGTTACGTGGTTAATTTTAAATTGTACACCTGGTGAATCGTATTCCTTATGGTGGACCGGATGCTGTATGTCAAACCGTATTCCTTATGGTGGACCGGATGCTGTATGTCAAACGGTATTCCTTATGGTGGACAGGATGCTGTATGTCAAACCGTATTCCTTATGGTGGACCAGATGCTGTATGTCAAACCGTATTCCTTATGGTGGACCGGATGCTGTATGTCAAACCGTATTCCTTATGGTGGACCGTTGTGAAGATAGTGTGCATGGTGGAGATACCACTGATGTGCTATATACGTGATGTCTCACTGGGAAAAGACTGTTGCAGCGAAAAGAGTGCTTTTATTTATAGTGATAAACTTTAGTCTTTTCCTTTGATTCGCACACCTGGATACATTGTCTTTTCTGCGTTTTAGTCATTCTCTCATAATCGAGCTTTTACTCTATTTTATTAGAGCCAAATTTATGTAATTTGCCTCTTTTTTCAAAGAGGGGAGGAGTGTAACAGGGATGATTCAGAGTTATTTCCCCCTGTTACCTGTAAATGATGTGTATCATAATTATTTTGTAATTAGTGCGACGAAACATAACTATATCTAGATTGGGTGTTTTGTAGAATGTTATTCCTATAATGAAATAAATGTATAGAATACTGTGATATAAAAGACAATGAAGAATAAGATAAATCGATCACTTCTCATTGTACGTATACGTTATGCAAATTACCAATGCATCATTTATTGAATATGCATTTTAGAATGTAGTGAATACGTCTAGCTTTGACCCTGAGTAACGAAAACATTGAGTTGTTTATTATTACTCGTTCTCGTTTTGTTCTACAGTTGACTTAAGGGAATATTTTAAGGGTTGACTGTTTTACATTGAATGTTCTTGTTGTATTTTAAGAGTTGTGATAATTTAAATTTCCCGCGTTTCGTAGAATAGCGGGAAGTATTTGTCCTATAGGTACGGAGTACTCGTATAGGTCGGGGAGCACGAGCTCTTATGGTTAGCCAATGAGATTGCTTGGTAAGTGATGACGTAATAAGGTAATGAGGTTTAGGCATTCTAGCGCTTTGGTCAGCTTAGGAACGGACCACTGAATTTAAATAGCGTGTATGTATATATACGAGAAAAGTTTTGCTAATAAGTTTTGTATGTGTGTTTATTTATATATTATCGAGTTTTTCTAAGGATTAGTTCTTTGTTAGGTGTTGAAGATATGTGATATATCGATAGGAAGGTAGGGATAAGTTTGAATGGATATATGCCGTGTTTAGATTGTTTGTTCAGAAATCCCAGCAAGATGAACCTTAAGCTTTGGGCTGGTGCACCTCCTGTCACCTCCGGGTTTTCAGTTTGGGTGGCTCGCTTGGTTTTTATTCAGATAAACACGGTTTGAGAGGGGGAGATTGATGAGTGAGTCGGCTTGTAGGAATATGTCTTTGTGAAATTTTGAAAATATATAACGCCGACTTTGCCGTTCCTAAAGGCAGAGCAGCTATCTGCATATAAGGAGTTTGTTGTTTATTACATATGATGAGTATATAGAGGACGAGTAGAAGTCTAGTGTATTCACAGGTACTAGCCTCGTCTGTCAATACACTTTAAGATTATATTATATGTGTATTGACAGACGAGGCTAGTATATACGTACCTGTACATGTGCCATTAAACATAGGAACCCAAGGCCAACCAAATTGAACCTGGGTTGACAGGACTTGGGAAGCGGCAGAGCCAGTCCTGTTACACCTGCGCAATATTTGAAGGTATTGAGCGTGATTAAAATATTCTGAACGATAGAATTAATGCTTTTAACAAACATATTCTGTGAATAAATACAACTATATAGAATCCGTTGGACAGTCTTGATATCTGTTGGCATCTGTAAGTTTGTGATTTTCATCAACATATTTGGTGTCCTGCAGCTTTGCTGCGTTTTCTTGTTAGTTAAGTCATTTGAGAATTGCATGATTAGCATACATGTAAGTCGCAAATATCAAATAAAATCTGGCAGATGTTGTTTAATTTTTGTCAGTTCAGTGTAATTTTAAGCTGCATTATGAATTAATAATCCGCCGTTTTGGTCTCAGTTGAGTATAACATATAGATAGACTAGCTACAGAACGTTTATATATGACAGGATAGATACATTACCGAAATATTCCATTAAGATATATATAAGAAAAAACATTGAAGATAAACACAATTTAAGGATTAATCATCAAAAAACAAAAGTAAAATATAAAGACAACATAGAAAAACAATTAAACCCAGCAAAATTCGTTTTTGCACTTATATTGATAATAATCGAGTGGTGGTGATAACCTCAGAGACGGAATTTGTGTGTGTGTGTGTATATGAGCACATATTCCGAGAATGAGCACGAGAGTGGTTTTATGAATACCGGCCCAAGATTCCTTAATTTGTTTTCAATCAAACATGGCGGCGTCCTTGCGGCACACTCGTGGGAGTAAGCGTGGACTTTTACAGTTATGGAGAGGACTACGAGACTGTAACGCTGCATGCTTCAGTACCAGTGCTTCAAGGGTAAACTATCAAACGTAATTCAATTCACCCCGATATTCGTTTCCTATCTGTAACGACCGGATGGCAACCCCGTAATTGTAATAGCAGACAACAGTTTGACTTTATAGATCTCTGTTAAATTAGATTTAAGCTACTTCAGCTAAGTTATCTATTTAGTTTCTATAGATATTCACCGAGCCTCACTACTAATGACATAAAAATGTTTAATGTGTAACTGGAGAGAAGTGAAAATATATATTCAGGATATCTGGTGGAGTGTTCATCAAGTAGCAAGGGGAGATAACTTTTCCAACTTTAAAGATGCTTGCACGTAGGAATCCAATATTTGGTATGGGAAGTCTGAATAGTGACGAACAAAACGTACAGTGAAATATTTCATTAGATTTGTACATTAATATGATACATGTACTTATAATTCTTGTTTTGTGTAAATTCCTAGCGACAAGCACGTGATGTGTGAAATCAGACTCACTGACACTGTGTTGTCGGTCGACTGCGTGGTGCGAACTTCACAAGTTCTCACTGAAAAGCAAAGATATTTCACTTTTTCGGTTGTATCTCTATTGATCACAGGCTTTTATTTCCCAAATGATAAAACAGACCACAATGGACATTGGCTTCAGGTCATGTCATTATCAACATCATAAACTTTAATTAGCTTGGAGAAATACATATTTCCGAATCTAATCAATTTTTCGGGTGTTAAACGACTAAAAAGTCCTTCAAAGATCGAGACTGACACCTGGCATATCGGTACTGTTATATAGCACTTAAACGAGATTTAAGCCTGTGACCATTGAACTCCAGACAGACGCTCTAATCGATATACAGGTATAGTTATACGGTCCCTGGCCATGGTAGAAACCCTGGAATTTAGGAGTCCAGAGATAATACCTTATCATGTATTTTTTAAAGTGAATATTTCTTCCTTTGGATGGGGTGGGGATTTTCAGAACAGAGTAAGTTAAGGCCCATTTTTTTGGTTACAATTACAGAAAAATTAAAATATGAAAAAAAAAAAAATGTTACACAAAATGTATTTTGATTTCATGATTTTTTTATTTATTTTTTCCAACCAGGTTTTTGTAGTAGTTTTGTTATAAAGTAATTAGACCTAAAGTATAATATTGTTTGTTTCCCCTTTACCTACCTACCCACCAAAATATCCCCTACCCAAATTATTATTAGCTCATCGGGTCCGAAGGACCAAGGTGAGCTTATATGCCATACCGTGGCGTCCGTCGTCCGTCTGTCAACAATTTCTTCAAACGACTTCTTCTTCTTAACCACTGATTAGAATTTAACTAAATTTGACTGGAAGTATCCCTTGGTGGTGGGGATTCAAAATTGTACAAAATGTGGGGCTGACCCCCATGGCCAGGGGGCAAGTGGGCAATTTGACTTTATTGCTTTTAACTACTTTTTCTCTGGAACTATGGAATTAAGAGGGGTGGGGCCAAAAGGGGGTAATTTGGCAATATTAATTGCTATAAACGACTTCTTCTGTAGAACTAGATATCACTATCAATCATATTTGGTCGGAAGCATTCATGAGAGGCAGGGATTCAAAATTGTACAAATAGTGGGGCTGACCCCCCAGGCTAAGGGGTTAGGGCCAAAATAGTTTATTACTTGGAAATGGTTGAGATCCCAACCCTATAACCATAAATACAATTTCTGAGTATAAAGAAAAGATTGCACATAAGCTTCCAGGATAGCCCTGGAGTATGGCCCCACCCTTGGCGACATAGTCCCTTGGTCATAACTTTGAAACGGTTGAGATCCCCACCCCTAAACTATATATACAATTGTTTGGCATAAAGAAACAAATGCAGTCATGATATTAGAATTGCCTCCGGGGTCTGCCCCATCCTTGCAGACTTAACCCCTGGGTCATAATTTTGAAACAGTTGAGATCCCCACTCCAAAACTAAATATACGAATGCTGGGCATAAACAGACAAACTCAGTCATGATATTAGAATAGACCCTGGGGTCTGACCAAACCCCTAGGGACCAGGTTTCTGAGTCACAGCTTAGAAACAGTTAAGATCCCCACCCTATAACCATATATACAATTGCAGAGTATAAAGAGATGAATGTACATATGCTTCAAGGATGGCCCCTGTGTCTGCCCCACCCTTAGAGACTGAACCCCTGGGTCATAACTTCGAAACGGTTGAGATCCCCACCCCAAAACTATATATACAATTGGTGGGCATAAAGAGATAAATGCAGTCATGATCTGTCCCACCCTTACAGACTTAACCCCTGGGTCAAAACTTTGGAACAATTGAGATCCCCACCCTAAAACTATATATACAAATGCTGGTCATAAAGAGACAAATACAGTCATGATATTAGAATTAATCCTGGGGTCTTGCAACAACCCTAGGGACCTAGTTTCTGAGTCACAGCATGGAAACAATTGAGATCCTGACCCCATAACCATACATAAAATTGCTGGGCATGAAAAAATACAATTATACTACAAGGATTGGCCTAGGGGATTTGGCTCATTCCCTTGGATCTCATTTGGAGAATATTTTGCCATGATTGCTTAGATATCCAGGTGAGCGATACAGGCCCTCTGGTCCTCTTGTTTTATTGACATTTTCCAGAAAGATTTCTTTTTCTTTTTCTTTTTTGTTAATTGTTTAAGACTAAAAAGAATTGTTCTTGTACTACTGGTATTCTGTTTGAATTTTTAAGTTACTACTCACAGTATAAATAAAAACAAAAATGAATCATAAATAATTTCCGTGATCTCTTTATTCTGTCTTTGCGTATTGCAGAGTTATCTTCTCTTGGGAGCAGGTATTGATTGCTACGTCACTTATTTGTGAGAGTAACGTCATCAATTTTTGAGAAAACGACGTAATTTTCTCACACAAACCAATGACGTAACAATCAATATCTGCTCTCAAGAGAAGATAACTCTGCAATACGCAAAGACGGAATAGACCCATGATTTTATGATTTGGGTTGGTGAAGGGGAAACAAACAATAATTTAATGTAGGCCTCAATGTTCAGCTTTTTACACTTTAAGACATAAAAAAAATGAGAACCTTTTCTTACGTCTAGTGAAAAATACATAAAGTTAAAAGGAGAAAACAAGTAGAAAACAGCGGTAAAACGACATGCACCCATGCCACTTTGAAATGTTAAGAAAAATGAACAACAAGATTATAAATTTAGTTAATATAGTCAGCAAACTTTATATTTTCAATTTGTTTTCAGAATAAAGGCCTTGTCTTGGGTCTGTTCGAGTCTGAGGAAGAAAATGGACCACAGTCCTTCACTAAGGCAACTCAAAAGTTTGATGACAGAACAAAACAAAAAGTCACGCATCACCTACAACTGTGTGTATAATGTTTATCAATTACTTTTAATATCAAAGTTTAAATACACAAACAATTTAAGTTTCAAGATCGACTAATTCCTTTATCAAGCTATAACTTGTTATATTTAAAGATATATTCCGTCTTTGCGTATTGCAGAGTTATCTTCTCTTGTGAGCAGGTATTGATTGTTACGTCATCGGTTTGTGTGAGAAAATTGCGTTGTTTTATCAAAAATTGATGACGTTACACTCACAAACAAATGGCGTAACAATCAATACCTGCTAACAAGAGCAGATAACTCTGCAATACGAAAAGACGGAATAGGCTGACAAAGAGAGCAATACTCCAAGGGTTACGCTCACTTCCGCTCTAAGTGAACGTAACCCCTGGAGTATCACGGATGTTCTGATATGCGCAGAAGCAGAAAAGAGGGTTGGTAGGTGAAGATAAAGACCTTTATTTGTGCAGCATCCTTCATCCAGCCTTCAGTGTTTCTTTTTGAAAACTGCAAGATCCAGAGTCCAGATATAATTGGCCAGTAGATACCTGGGATGAAGTGCTGAAAAGTTTACTCAAATATATGCCCTCAATAATCATTTTGCAACCGCTTTTGAAATTAAAATATTCAAATTTACACCAAAAAATCTGTTTGCATAACAGTTACTGTACATACTTTAAAAAAAAATGACAATCAGTGCAATGAAAAGTCCTACTTTTAAGAATTGGCAATGAAAAATCATGTTCCAAGCTTTAAGAATTAGCCATGAAAATTCTTATTTCTAGTTTTAAAAATTGGCAATAAAAATTCCTATTCATAATTTTAAAAATTGGCAGTGATATTTGTTTCGTAATTTTAAAAATTGGCAATAAAAATCCTATTGCTTATTTCAAGAATTGGCCATAAGAATTCCTATTCCTAATTTTAAGAATATACAATGTAAATTCCTATTTCAAATTATAAGAATTAGCAATGCAAATTCCTATTCCTAAATATTTCGGATTGGCAATGAAAATTCCTATTCCTAATTTTAATTATTGGAAATGAAAAAAAGTTGTTGCTTTAGTTTTAAGAAAAGGTACCCTGTAATGAAAATTTGCAAAAGATCTGTCTCTAAAGGCCCCATTTCAAAATTGCTCAATTGGAATCATCTCTGGATCATACATTGTATACATGTGCAAAAGTTTGGTACATTGTACATCACATGTTTCTTAATATCATCACATACATGCACAGTGTACTGGTCAGCAGTTTTGGAATTAATAGCTAAACCATTTTGCTGATTAGCTGTTATTTTTGGTTTATACATTGTATAACCTGGTATATGTTTTTTTTTTTTTTTTTTTTTTTTTTTTTTTAAATATTTGCAGTTTGAAGAAAAATATAAAGAAGGGTCAGGTGAGGATATTTTATGACCTTGACCCTGAATACTCGAGTGTGGCCGTCACTTGTGTCGGTAAGAGAAGTGCTGCTTACGATGAGGTCGAGGGAATGGACATGGGACGGGACCAGATCAGAGCGGCTGTAGCTAGTAAGTATGGAGGATTATCTATCGCATAACTGACTCATTTACTATGTCGTACGGCCTTGTCATAATTAAGGTATTACACACGTGTCATAAAACCTTAAGGTGCTGTGATCGGTCAAAACCTCGGGAATATATTCCTACGCCACTAAAGCCTTAAGGTATTACTTTTATTTACTTTACCACATGATACATTTTAGTTATTCATTATTTTCTGTGCATTCAAAGAATTTCATTTCTTAAAAACAAAAAGAAAAAAATCTGGAACTTCTTTGAAGAACCATGGAATTAGATATCTAAGTCCGTGGATGAACACATCATTGTATTTGAAGTTTTTTTCAAAATATGAATGACGTTATGTGATAAATAGAATCTTACATTTGTGTCCATATCATATTGAATTGATTAAACAAGTTGTTTATTAATCTTACACTCATGTAAGATCCTCTATATATTTGGGGTGGGTTTATTGGTCAGGGAAAGAAGGATGAGAAGAATCTGGATCAAAGAGTGAAAGTATTTCAATTGATAGGTGGAAATGAGGGAACGATTGACTTTATTTGAAAGAATATTCTTTGTGATGGGGAAAAATTGTCAACTATTTCACAATGGTGACAATGGTTATAATACTGTTAAACTTGCAGGTGTCTGTATCTGTTTATAAATGTTACATGACTGGGTTTGATAAGCCGGAAATTGTAGTTTAGGCTGAAGAAAAACTATTTTGTGTTTCCGGTAACCCTACCTACTCAAATTTATTGTGCCTTACCTTAAACACTTTTAGGCAATTTTCAAAGATACACTGTTAAAGTCAAGATCACTCTCTTATATAAACCACACATAATTATTTTTAAAGATAAAATGATTCCCCTGCTACCTACATATCCTGAATTTTTCAAATGTTTTTTCAGGAAATACACTTATTTTGTAGTTTGGCCTTATTTTAATTTTTTAACAAAATCACTGTTGAACAAAAACGTCCTCTTCTATGTTTATCCTATTAAGGATTTTTGTTTGAAACTGACATTGTATTTATGTGATCAGAGGGAGTTCAAGAGTTACAAGGTATTGGAGAAACTGAAGTGGCCGTGGACCCGTGTGGGGATGCTGAAGGTATGGTACAAAGTTTGGAGGGATTTCCTACATTTTGTTTTGTATATTCTACCATGGAAATTCTCAGCAAATTGTGGGTTTTTAACATATATATGTTTGGTAAAATCTATCATTAATGTCTGAATGTTATGTCAGAAGAAGTTATCTGCAAAGGTTTACAATCATGGCGAGGTATTATACACCATATGACAGTTCACCAGCTGGACAACTGAGTATAAAGAGACAACAATAGGACAACAATGTTATATGTGAAGCCACAAAATTGTGAACATTCCAATACTGCAGTGAGGAAACTGACACTGTTTGTGGTTTCTACGCCTATTCTAATTATTGCATTTAGAGAAAAATACTAGTTCATGCCCAGGGGTGTTACGTAGGATAGGGAAATTTCAGCCATCAGGATTTTTAAATTGGTTGGCAAGCTTTGGGGTTTCATCCAATTTGAAAACCCCTAGGGTGGAATTTCCCTATCCTACACCCCTGCATGGGCATGAAAAGTCGTACAATCCTGCAGAATAAAATAAATACCTTTATTATGAGTGGAATAGTGTTAAGATGGGCTGAATATATGAACAAAAAAGCTGACACTTGGAATTCTGTGTTTTTGATACATGTATGTGGGAGAATTTTAAAAAAATGCAGTATTCCAAATTTCAGAACCATGCATTTAAAAGCTGATTTTTATTTGTCTTAAGACTTTGACTTAAGGAAATTATGTAATCCAATTTCATGCCCTTGATATATTCTTAGGTTTCTTGTCCAATATTATTTAAGAATGTCCTACATGAAAAATTGTGTTAAAATTACTTAAGCTTTGCATAATAAACAGCCAGGTTCATTGCCTAATGCATGTTATATTAATTCACACTGCTTCCTCATCTTCTTGTATTGTACAGCTGCTGCTGAGGGTGGCCATCTTGCCCTGTTCGTTTACCAGGAACTGAAGGCAGAGAAATCACGCAAGGCGCAGGTCAATCTAGACTGTTTTACGGACTCTAGCTCAAATGGGTAAATTGTAGATTATCTGTTGATGTTCTGTATATATATATCTTCTGGTTAAAGTTCTGTACATGTGAACCTCAGTTTATAATGTTTTAGTGTAAATCAGGATAATTTTGGAATTTGTAAAAAGCTATTGGGTATCTATGATTTATGTTGTTTTGTGATAAGATGTAAGTATGAAGGGTGACCTGTTGTTTATGTTGTTTTATGATAAGATGAAGTATGAAGGGTGACCTGTTGTTTTGTGTTGTTTTGTGATCAGATGATAGTATGAAGGGTGACCTGTTGTTTATGTTGTTTTATGATAAGATGAAGTATGAAGGGTGACCTGTTATTTTGTGTTTTTTTATGTTATTATGACCTGTTGTTTTGAATAGAGACAACGTCTTGACAAAGTGGTCAAGAGGTAGAGTACTGGCAGAAGCTCAAAACTTTGCTCGGCACCTTATGGAGATGCCATCAAATAAACTCACCCCAGGTCACTTTGTGGATCTTGTCAGTGCCAGACTGACCAACACCAAGAGATGTTCTGTCACTGTCAGGTGAGCTATGTTCAATATGGCCCAGCTAGGCCGGGTCTCTGTGTTCCTGCCCCCATTCTTTCTTCTTTCCATCTCTCACTTTTTTTTTCTCTCTCCCCATATCCTACTCCATCCACTACATATGTAAGACCTCCTTTTCTTCTATCCTCCACTCCAGGGGCCTGTTCGTTTATGCAGAACAACTGGTACGTCCGTTATTAAATGTAACATTTTTGGTTTAAATCCTGGCAGACCTGCAAATGTTTATGCAGGCCTTGCAAGGCTTTGTCAAGGCACGCCTGAAAGCAGCATCAGATTACTGGGTTCCCCCTTAATACATAAACGAACACGAAACAAAAACGGCACACTTCTCCCTTATTTTCCTCTCACTAACCCCCATGTTTCCTCTCCCCTCCCCTTTTCTCCTTTCCTCTATCCCATATCTCCCTCTTTTTCCTATCCCCTACCCCATGTTTCCTCTCCCCCTCCCCTTTTTTATTCTACTCCACCCCATGACCCCCTCTTTTTCCTCTCCCCCTTTTCCCATTTATCCTCTGCTCCACCCCCTCTCTACCTCTTTTTCCTCTCCTCCGACCCATTTCTCCCTCTTCATTCTCTTCCCCTTCCCCATTTCTCCCCCTTGTTATTACTTTATCGAGATATTCACCTTTGTTTCACTTTTTTTGCTGTCTCTTCTCCAATATCTTCCTGTTCTATTTTCTAACTCATCAATCCGCCTCTAATCTCTATTCATTTTCCAATTATATCTCACATACCAGCAGTGTAGAACAGTCGGGCCATGCCAGCCAAAGGCTGGCCCAAAAACATTTTTTTGGGCATGAACAAAATTATTTCACAGGCCCAAAATGAATATTGGTAGCCCAATTATTTTACTTACCAAATTTTTTTCAGTGTTGAGCAATAAAAAATGCCAATAAAGCAATATAAATAGATGTCTTTATTCTTCAATCAAACCCTCCCGACACATAACCCTAAAAACCCTCCCCTCATTTCCATAGTCTTCATTGTCACTGAATTCACCTGGTAGGAATTTACAACTGCAGACGACTTTGTTATATTTAGATAAAAATAATCACGTGACCCCTCTGACGATCAGCTGGCGATTTTGGGGCGACATAGGGTTCATTACCTGATATCTCCGGCGTATAGGACAGATAAATCTTAAAATTTTGCCTATATGGTTAAAAATACAGCTTCTTTGGATTATGTGTGAAAAAAACACGATAATCCGCGTGACATTGCACAATACACATGCTTTGGCGAGAATTGGTCAGCCAGCAGTACTAGTGTATGATACGGCAGACCAAACAACATAAAATAGTAACTTACAGCGAAGAAAACTTACGACTTATATAAATACATAGTTAACTTACTTAAATCCCCAGCCCTTGTTTGTATCCGCCATGTTGACTGTCTGTGTCAATTCTCGCCCAATGATTTATTTTTGGGCCAGTAACTATCCATCTTTTGACAATTTCTAGTCGCCCAATAAAGGTTTTGGTCGCCTTTGGCGACCAGGCGACCTGCTGTGTCCTTCGCTGTACCAGGTGCAGCTACAAATATATTAATGAAACTTTGTCTTGTGTGTTGTGTCATTTCACAATTGAAATCTATCTTTTATTTAAGCTATAGGAATTATTTTCTGATCTTTTATATGGGAGTGGGTAGTATTCATTATCCTCTGGCTTACTGTTGTAATTGTCCAATGTTTATTTTTGATTTCAAAGATTGTCCAGAGGTGGGGGACTATGGATTGTTCACAATACCTTGCCTTGTTAAATATTGTCTTTTGTTTTGATTCCTTACAGAGACAGGAAGTGGATCGAATCTCAAAAGATGGGATCATTTTTGTCTGTGGCTGAAGGATCAGTAAAAGAGCCATTTCTACTTGAAGTGGATTACAAGGGAGACAACCCATCCAACCAAAACCCACTAGCCCTGGTTGGGAAAGGAATAACTTTTGACACGTATGTATTGAACAAGTTATATCGTAAAATAAGATAAAAAGATAAATATAAGTTAATGGTTTTACCAGATATAAAATGACCATAGTCTTAAAAGGTGGTGTTCAAAAATGTTATATGTTTAGCTTGCCAAGTTTTCTTTCTGATGTGTGTATGGGAAGTTTTCAAATTCCCTATATGTAATATCTACAATAGGATTTCGAAACTTGGTCATTTACCATTCTGTGAATTAATTGCTACAAAATCGATTATTTTATCCTATCAGTCATAATGATAGATTGCTTTCAAATGCATGTACAGTGTTTATCCATTAAGGAGCCTTGATTGCCAGGTTGTGGTTGCAAACATTCTTATCTTTGTTCGTATACCATATTAAAGTGCATGTTAAAAAAAAGTATGAAAGGTCACAGGAAAAATCAGATAATGAAATTTAAAGTAGAAATACGGACTACAATTTTGTTTGGTTTATGTTCAATTTAGTGGTGGGATATCACTCAAGCCGCCTGCTGATATGGACAAGATGCGAGCAGACATGGGTGGGGCGGCATGTGTAGCGGGAACATTACTTGCTCTCGGTAACCTTAACGTTCCTGTTCATGTCAAAGGTGGGTATTGAATCTCATATATCACCTCTTATTGGTGGGCAAATGTTCACTCAGCCAAATTTTTAACAAGATCATGGATTAACTTTTCACAAAAACAGAAGTCAAGCTACATGTATGATGAGAGTTCTTGAAAATGATTCCAATAAAATTATTTGTTTCTGCAGGTCGTAGAAGTTACTTCTGCCTAAACATAAATTTTTCAAGACCTTTTAAATTTGGCTTCAAGTTCATTAGGGCTTCTCTAGCATTAGATGTCTGCTTGTATCTCTTCCTTACCAGATGTCAGCTGTAGGGATATCCTGTCTCCAATTAAATAGGAGGTGAAATAAAATGGTCTTGTGTATCTCATCTAAAAATCTCCATTGACTGACATAGATATGTTAATAATAAACATGAATGTGCCGGAGATAAATTTAATGTATGACCTTTATATCAGTTATGTTAATTTGACATTATTCAAAGAGAAAAGAAAGAAGATCATTTAATCAAAATATTAAAACCAAGTCTCAACAGGCCACAGTAAATAGTTTGTCCACCAATCTTAGCTTGTGAACATTGTGACGTCACATTACTACATATTGTAGTTTGTTGACATGTTATTGTTACTTCACAATATTGTCCTTTTGAAATAAACCTGAAGAGCACTATGAAGGGTGAAAGTAGTTAGTATTCTAGTGGGTTGTTAGATCTTAGTTTTTCTATACATGTTCTTACGTACTTCACATGGACATATAATCTTTTTTATGTCTAATGTTATAGTACATCATGTTCCTCTGCTTGTCTTTACAGCATTTATACCCCTCTGTGAGAACATGGCAGATGGCCGTTCAACTAAACCTGGAGACGTTGTCACAGCCATGAATGGAAAAACAATACAAGTAGGTTACAATTTGCCATGTACAGTGCCTAAGTTGTGCGTGTAATTTCAAATGGAGCCTGTGTCTTTCAATTGGGATGCAGGCACAGGCCATGGTAAACCTGAGATGATATGATCTGGGCTTCTATTCATGAACCATTCTCATGCTCAAGCTCAGATTTTGTGATCAAGCCCAATATCTTGGTCTGGTAATAAATTTATAAGAAATTCAACATTTTTAGGTCACCTGAGCGTAGCTCAAGTGACCTATTGCTATTTGTCTTCGTCCGTCGTCCATTAACATTTTACATTTTCAACTTAAGCTGAAATACTGGCAAAGGGATTTCATTAATATTTCATGGGAAGGTTACTGACATCTCCCCGACCAAGTGTTGTTATTTTTCGGGTCGATCAGAAATCCAATATGGCCGCCACGGCCGCCATCTTGAAAAACTATTTCAAACTTAAAGTCAAGTTTTGCTGTGCCGATTGAACTGAAATTTTGTAGGAATGTTCCACTCATGGTCCTGACAAAATGTTGTTATTTTTTGGGTCAATCAGAAATTCAATATGGCCGCCACAGCCGCCATTTTGAAAAAACTATTTCAAACTTAAAAACAAGTTCTAATAGGCCGATTTAACTGAAACTTGGTCTAGGAATGATCAGCTCATTGTCCTGACAAACTTAATNACTGAAACTTGGTCTAGGAATGATCAGCTCATGGTCCTGACAAACTAATTTAACGTTATACTTAACTATTTTGCACTCAAATTGGTACATATTTCAACAACAAAAATAAATACTGTAGGACTCAGGTGACCGTTTAGGCCCATGGGCCTCTTGTTTCAATGATTTGGAAGAATTTGGTGAAACTAAAAGCCAAATGCCATTTTCAATATTTACAATTGATACTGATCCTTTGGTTGTGTCTCATGATTCAAGTTTGTTTGAGGACAGAATCTGAGCTTGAGCATGAGAATGGTTTCATGGATATGGGCCCCAGAACATTCCAGCAACATATGATGGTCTTAATGAGAAATGAAATGCTTAAATCAGTTATTTCATGCATGTGTAATTTAAAACATGTTAACAAATTAATAAACTGTTAACACTTCACCTTTCAAAAGATAGGGTATATGATCTGTTGATATTTTAGACAGTTGATGATCACAAGGATATGTGATATGAACAATATCAATGATCAATGATAACTTCCCATTTGCCGACAGGTAGACAATACCGATGCTGAGGGGAGGCTGATTCTGGCCGACGCTCTTTGTTACGCAGAAACCTTCAATCCAGAGCTAATACTGGACATGGCAACACTCACAGGTATAGTTTCTGTTAATAGTCCCTACTATCACTTAATCATTATATCCCCCGCAAACGATCACTGATGAAACATCTAAGATTTTTTTCTTAAATGCGGTGAAAATATTTCATGTGAAATGTCCTTCTCTGGAGATTTTTTCAGATGAAGATCTGTCTGGTTAGAGGTTTCAGAGGTTGACATGTATTATGTGCTTATTTAAAATAGGCCCAAAGTGTTAGAATAGGCCAGACAAGAGGGCTGGCTGGTGATTAGTCAAGAAAGAAACAAATGAACTATTTAGTATTTTTTAGTTTTGTTTTTACCAACCTTGCCGTTATCATTAAGCTTGATGCCACAGACTTGTGATGTTTCTGTTCACATTTTACAGGAGCAATAGATGTGGCGTTAGGAGCTGGTGCTACTGGAGTGTACACAAACTCTCTTAAAATGTGGGAACATCTACACAAGGTAGGACTGACACTTCTCCCCATTACACAGACATAGCCACACTTCCGGTCAGTAAACTTACCCTAAAGTAAAGATGGGGGATTCCCCTGTCATCAGATAACAGTTGCATGATCTCACATCAACAATGCATTACGTCACATCAACAATAGCAGAATAGCAATCACGGAAGATAACTCCGATTTGCTGGAAATTATGAAATAAATGTTTGCGTTTCATGAAGTTACCACTTGAATTTGATGTGGGAGAAATATTGTCAATCCCCAGTTCAGGATTAAGGCAGAAAAAGTCTGAACCCTAAGGGTAAGATTTTTCTGTCTTGCCCACAAGGTGGGGAAAGATTATATAATTCACACCAATCTATGAATTCTCACATGAAACGCAAGGGAGAATTTTTCTTGCTTTAAAGTAGATGTACATCATATTCTAATAAATAATATTGAGTAAAATAAAAGTTTAACCATTACCCTGATGGGAGATTATTAACCTCACACAATAAGATTCTTGTGTTTGTGGGTATCATCAACATCTAATATATTGTGTTGGGTTTGCAGGCTGGGACTTTGACTGGTGACAGGGTGTGGCGAATGCCCTTATTTAACCACTACACCAAGCAAGTGACCATGTCAGACCTGGCTGACATTAACAACATCGGGACTGGTGGTCGATCTGGAGGTTCCTGTACAGCAGCTGCATTTCTCCGGGTAAAAACTTTCCCATTCTTCCATTGGTGTTCCTAAAGATTTCCTAAAGATTACAGTTTTCCTATCAGCAATATGCCTCTGTTTGGTTTGACAATATAAACATTCCCAAGCATTATCTTGTCTTTCTCTGGCAAATAAACTGGGTCTATCCAAGTGTTTCTCGAGGTAAAAACTTCTGTTCAAATTTTTTGTATGTGAGCTTTTGGCAAGAATTGTGCCATTTTGCTGTTCTTTTGTTCTTGTGATGCTATCTGGCATATTATAATTAATGAAGGTTATATTCTAGTAAGACATTGATCTAAATCCAGGACCACAGGACTCCTGGTTTTATTAAGGGTACCACTTACAGAATTTAATAAATATTTAAGTAGAAGTAAAACATGGATAGAAGTGATTTATATTTGAGTCCAGGAGTCGGACAGGTAGAGTTTTACTGGAGTAGCCCTAATTTGTTTACATGTGATTTTGAACCATTGTAACAACAAAGTCATGAGCACATGATGATTGATTAGAGAAATATTTTCCCATCGTGATTTCAGGAGTTTGTCACCAACAAACAGTGGATGCACTTAGACATTGCCGGGGTGATGATGAACAAGTCAGAAATACCCTACCTCAACAAGGGCATGGCAGGTAATAATACATCATCTTACCTAAATCAAATAGAACTGTAATGCATAGGCTAAATCAAATCCCCTGTTCCCAAATGAAAAATCGCAAGGGGAAATAACTCCTACAAATAGTTTCTATAAAATATGAAACTAGAGAACATGTGTAACAATTTTAGTAAAAAAAAAAAGCAGTGATGATTGCAGCAATATTTTGGCATATTTATAAACAGAAGTCAGAAAGGGGGATTACTCCTATCAAAATAAATCACAAGCACACAACGTCTAATGGTATTGATTATGTGTACAAAATTTAAAAAAAACCCATCAAGAATGTATTAATAGGAGTACTTCAATAAAAACTCTTCATGAAAATTCAATTTTCCTGCCGATATGAAAAAAAAGTGTTTGTAAGTCTCAATTTCACACTACATTAACATCTCATTATTGAATTAGGGAATAGTTTAATAGGTATGAAAAGGACATTTACAACCAAGAAGAAAGTATGAAGGCTTCAACAATATTAATGTCTGTTTCTTTGTTGCAGGTCGTCCAACAAGGACTATCGTGGAATTTCTACAGTTGCTGAGTCAGAAATAAGCAGTGATCAGTCATTACTGAATTTTCATTTTATCTTAATATGACATATGTTCTGAGAATTTTAGTGAAGATATATATGTCATTTTCAGTTGCAAAGTACATTGTACATGAATGCGATCCATCTGAAAACTGATCTGCTGAATTCATGACAAGGATGATCATGGATCAATATTAATATTTATAAATGTAAAGTGCTAAATGTTTGTCTGCCTTTTATTGCTACAAAAATGTACCTATTTATGACATTAATAGCAAATGTAGTAAATTTTATAAAAACTATAACAACTACAAATTAATTACAAAAGCACTTCCTTTTTTGCCAAATGTGATTATTCTATAACCAAATATTAATGTAAGACATTTATCTCAACTGCTCTGCATACTTTCCAGTACCAGGTGTATATATATATATATATATATAACATTCACCATTGGAGGAACCTAGCTAGTACAGTATACATACATTTATGTAATCTCTAGTTTATTGCTTAATGTTCAAGGGATGACAGATGAATAAACCGCTTCAAACAGAAGGCGTGGGGGCAGCCTTATTTAAGTGATTCATTCCTCATGATCCCATTAAAAATACATGTACAAGTACCTCTGAATGTTCGAGGGTACATGTATAATTATGCTGGAGGTTGTATAGGTGTGCTGCTTGTTTTGAGTCAGTATTTCAGTGGCTCATTAATAGTGCTATAACACTTGAATACTACCCAGCTAGATCATATTGCCTCTGGTGTTAATCTTCACTCATTGTTATTTGATGTTTTGCTGAATCTTATTATTGATATTTGCATCTTGATCTAGGTTTTTTTAACCCAACCACCCTTTATTGTTTTTGAGGTTGGATAGGGGTATCTAATTATTGTGTCAATCACCCCTAGATTGTGCGTTTTAGTGACAGAAAATCTAAAAAAAAAAAATGCCAAAACCCTGATTTGGTACATTTGAAACATCTCGCACATAAGGTTAGAATTTGCCTTGCAATTGGTTGGATTTTACCTGTCACCCTGCAGAAAACCCCACAAAATCATAAATCTTACCAACTGCCAGTATTAAATACATACATTAAGCCAAAGGCCTTATGAGATTTTACAATTAACAAGAGAGGGACACTGTTGTTTATGGTAGGGAAATTGACCGAAAGATTCAACCAATCATATAGTAATTTAATTACTTTGTTGAGTAATTCTGGGAACTCAGGGTAACTCAAGGAAATAGATGTTGAGAATGTGATGGTAAATATATTACAGTATCACAGAGTGATGCTGTATGGAAATAAATAGTGTGATATTCAACTGTGTTATTGTTCATCCTTAAGGAAATATATGACATGTACACTTCATTTCTACATTTCCTCTCCTGAAGAGATTGATTTTAAAAAAATCAGCGATACTAGACCGGGTTTCCAACCCTAGATTTCAGATTGTTGTACTATCGCGCTAATCGACTGAGCTACCTGACCAACGGAAGTCCCCTGGCTAAATTGTGCTACAGTTACATCTAAAACGAAATTAAGGGGAGGTAACTGTAAACGTGGGACATCTAAAACGAAATTAAGGGGAGGTAACTGTAAACGTGGGACATCTAAAACGAAATTAAGGGGAGGTCTCTGTGTACGTGGGACAGAGATCCTGAAAGAGATACCTGAGAAACTCCTACTGTTGTTTGAGAAAGAAATTGAAAGAACAATTTGATGCAGTTTTTGAGAATTTTATTTTTGCGTCTTTATATAATGCTACAAATAGTAATCAGTCACAAAGATTTTAATTCAGGCAAGGAATTAAAACAAATGTTACTTATTCCTTGTTTAAATGAGGAATAACAACACAACCGTTATATATCCCTTCTCTAAACGATTCGCAATAAATATTTATGAGAAATCTATAAATGCAACATCAAGTACCACAACATACGTAACTTGCAAATTACAAATGATCTATACACATGTTCATTATTCCACGTACTATAAAAGACAGCATGATATTGCTTACTTATTTCACATACTATTGGATATACTGAGCACAATTTCCTGTACATTATTCCACATACTACATGTATAAAGACTGAGCATTATTTTGCCTACAATATTCCACATACTACAAAAGAAATCAGCATGATTTCGCCTTCAATTAAATATCATTTTGTAACGAGTACATATTTAAATAATTATTGGGACTATCAGTACTTAAGTACTAGGGCTGAAAATATATTGTTGGTTTCCTACTTTCAGCTCAAAACAATAAGGTTGGTAGGTAATTATTTTTACAAACTATGCTACATAGAGGCAGCATTTTCTGCAAAGTACATTCTGTATTTGTAATAACAAATATATGACAAAACAGTCGTGTTAATACACTCATTTAATCTGTTCTAAACAAAGAATTCGAATACAGAGCAAGATGGAGGGAATTCTACAGATCAAGTTCAAATATCAAAAATTAACCCTTTCACCACTTACTGTAGACCATAATGGACTCATCCAGATAAATGCATGGTAATTTAAAGTCTACTAAAGTTACATAGGGGTGAAAGGTTAAGAATAAAGACCTGGAGCTGAACTCCAAATCAGTGAGACTAGACAATGTATGTGAGCATTCTGAAGCCTATGTACATTACCTGTTTTGATTACAGATTTAAATTTTACATCAAAGTCCCTTTCATAGTTATTTTTTTGTTTTTGTTTATGTTTTACATCCTATTAACATCTATGGTAATTTAAGGACATGCCAGGTTTTGGTGGTGGAAGAAAGTCGAAGTTCCCGGGAAAAACCCACCAACCTGCGGCCAGAGGTCTCAAACCCATGACCCCGCGACCCAGTGGTGGAGGGCTAGTGGTAGCAGAATGTCAGATGCCTTAACCGCTTGGCCACCTCAGCCCCTTTAATAGTTAACAACACTTTATTCCTACTAATCCTACTATTTGTTTTAAATGGGTCCTTAGGAAATTGTTGTCACAAAAATAATTTCAAATTGGCACCTCAAACTGCAGCCACAAAATCTTTCGAACATTGTACTGTTAAGTACATCATTTTAATTCACAAATTTGTAAAGTGGGACCACACATAATATTTTTGAATGTCCACTCAGATCAATTGAGGTCCGGGTGTCTTGGACACAACTGCATTACACCAGTCTTGGAACTTGTGCCAAAACTTGAATGCTTAAGGAGTTTTAAGTAATGACAAGCATACAATTTCCTACTGGCATCATTCCCGTTAAAATGAATCACATCATTTCAAAGTCTTCACATACATGAATGTACATGTAGTATTTTCTTGACTAGCACACTTTTTGCAGATGTGACAAGTTTCACATACTACATGTACCAGGTATAAGCAGATTAACCCACATATAATACTCCTTTGCAAATAATAGCAAAATACAGCAAACTTTTTCACTTTTCACAACATCCACCTATTGGAAGGTGGCCTTTACAGGCACGTATACAGAAAATCAAATAATGTTAAGAGTTTGAATAAATTAGAACTTGAACAAAAGTAGAAAGAAAACAATCAAAAACAAAAGTTCAAATATTCACAAAGAATAATTAACTATAAATAGTAACCATTGCCTTTAACCAACGACTTTTACATTCTACTGGAAAGCTTTTGGTAAATTCCTTATATTTCTTTCTGCATTTGAAAATCTGTAATGAAAGGAAAGCATCTGATGGGCTGGGCTGGAATCTACATTCTGTCCGAGTTAGAATCCACATTCTAACCGAGTCGAGAATCCACGATGCAGTCAAATTTCAAATTCTATACAAGTCAAAATCCAAATACTATCTGAGTCAGAGTCTGAAAGGCAGTCAGAATTAAAGTTCTGTTTAAGTCAGAATCCATCAGGCCCTCAGAGTCCACATTCTATTCCAGTCAAAATCCACTAGACTGCAGTCTGAATCCACATACTACCCGAGTCTGAATTCAACAGGTAGTTGGAATTAAACCCTATACTCAACAGAGCGAGACGGAATGATTTCCTTAATTTGACAGTCTGAGACAGAGTCCATAGATATCTCCTATCTAACTGCTTGGGCCATGTGGAGAGGGTTTAACATCAGTTCGAAGGCCGCACCCTTTAGGTTAGCTCCCCTTAAATTAGCCTCCTGCAGGTCACAGCCAGACAAATCACAGTTCTGAAAGACAAACATCAGAATTTATGACTTACTAGAGTTTAAAGGATAGTGGTGTTGCAAAGCTAAGAAGGAGTCTATTCAACTTTATTATATTATTTCCCATTCAAACATATGACAGTGGATTATCAACAATTAACTAATTATGCAACACTAATTCATCAAGGACTGCTACAAGTTAAACCTTTCACCCCTATGTAACTTTATTAACCCTTTCATCACTGTAGACCATAATGGAATCATCCAGATCAATGCATGGTAGAGTCTACTAAAGTTCCATAGGGGTGAAAGGGTTAATCTCTTCCATGCATTAATCTGGATGAGTCCTTTATGGTCTACAGTGGTGAAAGGGTTAAAAAAAATCTCTATCAATATTTTATTGAGACAAAACCTGTTTCGTACAACTACATGTGCCTCGAAAACCATGAGCCTGATCATGACTTGGTGCACGTCAAACCCAACACATCTTTATAGCACAAGTTACTGACCCATTCAACTCCGATTTCATCATTTAATCTAAACCTACATACCAAGGGTATACTGCGAACTACTGTGAAATCAAATATTTTTTATCATTTCTTGGGTACCGGTACATAAAGTCGTGGATTACGAGTACCCACTCAAATAGAGAGTTGCTTTTTATCAAACTTGTAATTATATCTTAAACCAATTAATTCATGGATGAAGATTACCAAGGAAATTAATGTAAAAGAATAACCCATGAAAATCAGTGATTTCACAGTATTTACATGTCCAGGCAGAGTTGTTTTCCTAATTTCCGGGCAAGTCCGAAATCTTTTTATTCCGACTGTCATCATTCCCATTCAAGGAATATTACAGCTATTATAATCTTGAAACCACAAATACAAGCTGGTTCATCTCTTAATAAAACAATATTCCTGATATCAAAACTATGATCAATGACACTGATTATTATCTCTCAAGCCTCAACTGAAAACCTTTGACCTCAATTTCTAGGATGAGGCACTGCGTCATTTGAGCTAATAAAATGTCCCTTACTTCAAGGTCAGCTCCGGCGAGCACGGCCCCGCGTAGATCACAATTCTGAAGGTTGGCGTTCTTCAGATTTGCCACTCTCAGATTCACTCCAGCTAACTGACTTCCTTCCAAATTCACATTCTTCATTAATGCCCCTGGAAAAAATGTGCAATAACATCAGCGTTGCAAAAATAACAATTGTTCATTTAAAAGCTAAACCTTTCACCACTGTAGACCATAATGGACTCATCCAGATCAGTGCATGGTAGAGTCTACTAAAGTTACATAGGGGTGAAAGGGTTAATTTCAGATAATGAAAGTAGGAAATATGTTCTAAATAAAATATATTTTGTGTGATATTCATTTTGGTACCAGGTAGTAAAAGGCTGAAACCTATAAAACTAGTGAGGGAGGTGTTTTCTTCTAATTGCACTTTGGGTCCATTTTCACACTGAAGTGGAGTGAAAGGCAATGCACTGTATACGGGAACATTTTCGTCGCAGTTTAACATTCGCATTTTTTCGCCATCCCCAATAAGGGAGAGTTTATCATGACAGTGAATGTTAGTACACAACATGCGATATATAGAAATAACATGAGCAGGACGAAATTAACACTGCAGGGAGAACATGGATTTTATCAGAAAAGGGCGGAAGTTTTTACCGCTATATATAACACTAACAGCTATTAGTAAAAGAGGTGTCTTCACTTACCCAGATTTATCATGTAATGAAAAGAGTGCATTAACATGGAGTATTCAAAATAGGATTTCCAACATGTATTTATGCTTCAATTTTATTCTAAGCAAGCTTTATTTTCAGGGAAAAAAAAGATTTCTGTTAATAACACATTCCACTTAATATCTCATTTTCCTCAAACAAATAGCACAGGATAATAACAGAAATATACATATGTCTCTTATCGGTTAACTGCTCATCTGCTAAGCAGACATTTTCATTATTTTTACATCGTACACCTGTGATAGGTCCAGGTGTTTCCATACATAGAACATACTGGATTTTTCCTTTTCTGTCACTAGCAATGTCCAATCGAAATGTCAATTCCTTCGGTCATTTGGTTTTATTACCAAGAATTTCAGTCTTTATCTATTTGTTTGTTTATTCTTTTTAGAAAATATTGTCACATAATAAAACTTTTACTGAATTAATGCTTACAATAATCTTTAATAATAGGGTCAGTGAAAATATTACACTACTCCGATATGTTATTGTATATTTGCCTCATAAAAAGTCGTTAACTTTATAAAATGTACCTTCTAAATTGGCTCGGCTGCCAGCAGGATCCTCGAAGTTGCATCCTCTCAGGGAGGCTCCTTCCATATTGGCACACAGCATCTTCACTCCCAACAGATTTGCAGACTGTAAGTACATGTAGATAAGGGGGGTGTAACAAAAATACCATGAAGGTTTTTTTTTCATCAGGAAAATCATGAAGAATCCTACAAACAATTGGCTGTATTACCTTATCATGTTCTTGGACTCTAACTTAAAAGCCAACCTTTTGTTCCAGCTATGCAGGGGTGTACAATTCCTAGCATTTAGAACACTAGCCTGCGGGCAGGTTTTGAAAACAAGAGGCCCATGGGCCTTAATGGTCACCTGAGTCCTACAGTATTTATTTTTGTTGTTGAAATATGTACCAATTTGAGAAAAAAATAGTTAAGTATAACGTTAACTTAAGATTGTCAGGACCATGAGCTGATCTTTCCTAGACCGAGTTTCAGTTTAATCAGCCTATTAGAACTTGTTTTTAAGTTTGAGGTTATTTTCAAAATAGCGGACGTGGCAGCCATATTGGATTTCTTATTGACCCGAAAAATAACAACACTTTGTCAGGTCTAAAAGTCGCTCATTCCTTCCAAGTTTCAGTTCAATCAGCCCAGTAGAACTTGACATTAAGTTTGAAGTTGTTTTTCAAAATGGCGGCATTGGCGGCCATATTGGATTTCTGATCGACCCGAAAAATAACAACACTTGGTCAGGGAGATGTTAGTAACCTTCCCATGAAAAATTAATGAAATCCCTTTGTAAGTATTTCAGCTTAAGTTGAAAATGTAAAATGTTAACGGATGACGCACGACGACGGACGAAGACGGATAGCAATAGGTCACTTTAGCTAAAGCTCAGGTTACCTAAAAATTCTAGCCCACCTACATTTTCATTGTAAACATTGAAAACTTCCACTAGCACTGATATAAAATCTATACTAGCCCCTGGCGTATAGGGCGTGTAGAATAGTAGACCCCAGCCATGGTATGACTTAAACTAGGACCTGTATTCATAAACTGTTCTCGTGCTCAAGCATGGATTCTGTGCTCAAACCAACTTTTTTGTAACTGGCTTAAAATCATATCACATGGTTAACAAAAGTACCGTGGGGCGGAACAATATACGCCCGTCGAATGCAATATAGTGTTATATACTTTCTTACATTGAAATAAGATCTGCATCATTCTAAGAGTGGTTAGCTGACATGCTATAAAAAAAATAGAAGAAAATCTCAGGACATAAAATCAAATACTGAAATGAACAAAGGGCAATAACTTTGGAAAAATTGTCCAATCAAAATTCTTTTGAGGAAGACACAACTTCATTTCATGATTATTTAGCCTACTAAGTTTCAAAGAAATCCATCAAAAAATGTAGGAGGAGATCTCCGGACAGAAAATCAAATACTGAAATGAACAAAAGGCAATAACTTTTGGAAAAATTGTCGAATCAAAATTTGTTTAAGGAAGACACAACTTCATTTCATGATTATAATGTATACCAAGTTTCAAAGAGATCGGTCAAAAAATGTAGGAGGAGATCGCCGCACAAAAAGTTTACGCCGGACGGATGGACAACCCCATACCTGATAATGCTTCCGTCAAATTTTACGGGCATAGAAAAAGCCAAGTTTAAATATTGAATATGGTATTTGGCCAAAAGCCTCTCCAAATTTCTTCCAGATCATTGACAAAATGTAATATTTTATTAATCTATCACCGGGGTAAGAAATTGGGCTTGAGCACAAAATCTGAGTTTGAGTATTTAGAAGAGTTTCATAGATAAGAGCCCTGGCCTGTATTTGACCTCGTCTACTCACGTCCAGTACAGTCTTATGCAGGTCAGCCCTCTCAAAGTTACAATAGGAAAGGTTGGCTCCAGCAAGATTGGCGTTCTTGAGAATAGCATATTTGAAATTGATGTATCGTAGATCTAGCTTGGTGAGGTTGGCACCAGTGAAGTTCATACCCTTGAATACACAGTACAATGGAATTATTAAAACAGGTTATCTGCAAAATCATTTATACTGCAGATGAACTTTTTTATTTAGAGAAATATTCTCTAAATATTGGTAAATTTCTTTACAGGAATGTTACTTTAGCATGAACATTATATTAACAGAATATTACATCAAGAGGAATATTACATTACAATAACATAATATAAACATAACTATTACATCACAGGAGTTCACATTTTTTTACACTGGATAAGAATGAAGAAAAGTAGAATTTAGTATAGAAACAATAATGTTATAAAATGTATGCCTTTGTATTTTTGAAAAACGAAATTTAAAACAAAATTATAATTATCCTAAGGTGACTTGATATTCTCCCACCCTTCACAGGTGTGTCTCCCGTTTTAGCCGGGAAAGATCAGCTTGTCAACCCTTAGGGGGAGATAGCCTCGTGCCGATTAGCACGTGTTCAATAGTGACGTCATAAATTGTGTCACCGGTAATTGGGATGTCATCAAAAGTGAATGACAATATGCATACCCCACATGTGTTTTTGTTTACAAACATGGCAGACTACTGTCGGTGGAGTTTTTTTACTAAAGTAATAGGATGGGAGAAAAAAAATCATCCCCTACCTTGAGGGTGTAATAGAGAAATCTCCAACCCTCGGGGTGATTTTTTGTTGTTGTCTAACCAAAAAAACATCACCCCTCGGGTTGGAGATTTCTCTGTCACGCCCTCAAGGTAGGGGAAGATTCTATTAGTCCTTAATATTGACGTTTTAAGGTCAGTGGAGCATAACTCAACCGGGCCCGTATTCATGAAACCATTCTCATGCTCAAGCACAGATTCTGTGCTCAAACCTACATTCTTGTAACCGGTTTAAATCAGCTTTATAAGTCTGTTCAATGTTTTTACAAATCATTGACAAAATACTTTTTTTTAATAACTAAACATGAAATTTGGCTTGAGCACAAAATCCATGCTTGAGCATGAGAATGGTTTCATGAATACGGGCCCCTCGTGTCAGCCATATGCTGTGAATATAGGAATAGTCATGGTCATTGACTGGTCATGGTTATTTCTGCTATCAGAAAAGCATCACAAACAAGAGGCCCAAGGGCCTTAGCGGTCACCTGAGTTATATCATAGGTACTGGTAGCTTTATTTTATTGTTAAGATGTGATGTGGAAATCTGCATGTAAACTAAGTGAAATACAATACTTGTCATGTCATCAATGGATAAGAATTTGAAAATATTGGTAAATGTTCCCTTTGGGGCCCCGCCCTAGCCCCTGGGGATGGGGCAGGAATCCGAATTTTACAAAGTAATACTCTCATTCACCCAAGATGATTCTGACTAAGTTTGAGTAATTTTCTGCTGAAAATGGATAAAATATATACCGAAAAGTGTTATTTCCCCTTATAAACTATATTAAACTTTACCCCCTCCCTAAGGGAGAACGGATAGCTCGGGGGTCCTGAAATTTACAATTTAAGTAAAGCCCCTGATGATCTTTCTTTCCACGTAGAGAAAATCACTGTAGTACCTCTGAGTCTGGAGAAGAAGATTTTTGAAATATTGGTTAATTTTCCCTTTGGGGCCCCGCCCTGGCCCCAGGGGTTGGGGTAGGAATCCCAATTTTACAATTTTGAAGCCTCATCTACCAAGGATGATTCTGACCAAGTTTGAAAAAAATCCATCCACTGGTTCTTGAGAAGAAGTTGAAAATGTAAAAGTTTACGCACGACGGACGACGGACGAAAAGCGATTAGAATAGGTCACGTGAGCAAAGCTCAGGTGACCTAAAAAGCTAAATATGAAAATTGTTGATATTTGTGATATATATCAAAGGTTTTGATAGCTCACCTGACACCGGAGCTCTTTGTTGGTGGGTGTTGCTAGGAGACGGAGTACCAATTCTCTCCGTGTGATTGGTGTACGATCGTCAGGCACCTGGTTTTTCTAAAGATAAATCAAAAGGTTTCTTAATAATGTTGAAAACAGTTGGGAGAAAAATCTTGGAAGGTGGGCTTAATTTTCTACAGATCAATTAAGAACATGCATGCCTGGTGAAATAATTCCAGAATAACTGTTCCCTCGACAGTGAAAATAACTTAAAAACCAAAAGTATATTGAGTACATTATAGCAACTTTTAAAATGTTCTTGACAAAAAAAAAGATTTAAATATACTATAGAAAAAAATATCCTGGTTCCGTAGGGTGAATCAGCAAGTAAAAACTCTGCTCAGTACATGTATATAGGTATTTTTTTTAGATGTATCTTATTTACAGTTTGCACAAGTAAGCTGTGAAATTTAGACTTCTGTGTGATTTGTGCTGTTGAGATTGCATGAAATCAAGCTTAAAATTAGATTAACTACAGTAGCCAGGTCAGGGAATACAGGTAAACATTGAATTTGAGTGAGGACCCCATACAGGTACAACATTTAGTACAGTTTTTATCCGGCAATAAGCCGATGCCTGTTAGGCCCAGCCATATCATATATAGTTCAGTAGAAATGCTTACAAATGCTGTTCCATTGCTCTATAAGAAGCCCATCCCCTACGTTGAGTCTATGCATTGGCCCCCTGGGCATGCATATTGCAGTGTACATATACTGTAGTATCATAAAATGGGAAATCTTACCTCTATGATATCTTCTAGTGTGTCCATCAGGGTGGGTAAACCAAAGAACCGAGCCTCCTCTAGGACTCCTGTAACAAATTAACGTGACAACAATAAATAGTAGTGGCCAACACTGATACAGGAAACACAGCACAACTTCAAAGTGATTTGACAAATGTTTCATTACCAGCAATGGTCTGCCCCAATCTGTGGACATTGCAGTCATATGACATTTTATTTTGTCATAATGACCTAATTAGCTGTTGTCATATAACTCAAACTGTTTTCATATGACCTTAGCTGTTACAATAATGACCTTATAGCTATTGTCATATAACTCAAACTGTTTTCATATGACCTTATAGCTGTTACAATAATGACCTTAGCTGTTGTCATATAACTCAAAATGTTTTCATATGACCTTATAGCTGTTACAATAATGACCTTAGCTATTTTCTATATAATTTTAGCTGTTGCTTGGACATAAAATCCAAAAAAGTACTGAATTCTAAGGATTATGTCCCCTGGGCTTATATTTACTGTATAGTTGTTTAATTTCGTTGGTGTAAAATTTCATGATTTATTTCCGTAACTCATTTGTGGCGGTTAAACTTGCGAATCACAATTTCTGTAAATCTATTTCAGAGCACCTCGCAAATAGTTTGGAATGCTAGTTATTATCAGCAACCACTGAGCCGACATTGATAGAGGCTATCATGGGTGTCACCACACCTACTAGTACATATACCAGGTAGTCAAGTTGTTTTCAATAGATTCAAGTGTATGTCGTTTGCTGGGTTGTTGTATATATATGAGCTTTGTGAACTTCAAGATATAAAATTATTTTTTTAGTTTATTCCAATCTGGGGTAGCCGCCTATGACTTCAAACGAGAAAACTTGGGGTTACAACAATAACTGTACATGTGAAATTGAATATATTTACAGCACCATACTGTCGCGAATGTAGGCAAAGATCTCGATATTTACCGACACATGATGACTTTTTTGGGGGGAAATTGGCAAGGATTTCTCACATAATATGTCTATTAAACTTTTTTCAATGCTATCTTTAGACCTATATATAGTAGCCTAAACTCATGATCAGCTGGCATCACAGGCATGTGAACATGGATGTTCTGGCCACAATCCAAAATTTCACAAGGTTCAAAATTTCATGAATTTTGATGCATTCGCCAAATTAGCAAAATTGAAACCCTTGGGAATATCATAGCAACTATACAGTATAAGAGGTTAAGTCCCAATACCCCAATACCTACCTTGTGGATTGATGTCCTTGTCCAGGACCAGGTCCCAATACCTACCTTGTGGATTGATGTCCTTGTCCAGGACCAGCTCCCAATACCTACCTTGTGGATTGATGTCCTTATCCAGGACAAGCTCCCAATACCTACCTTGTGGATTGATGTCCTTGTCCAGGATCAGCTCCAAATACAGATTGATGTCCTTGTCCAGGACCAGGTCCCAATACCTACCTTGTGGATTGATGTCCTTGTCCAGGACCAGGTCCCAATACCTACCTTGTGGATTGATGTCCTTGTCCAGGACCAGCTCCCAATACCTACCTTGTGGATTGATGTCCTTGTCCAGGACCAGCTGGCCATGTCGGAGGTAGTTAAGTATGGGTTCAAAGTAGCGTGGACTGCGGTCTATAAGGTATGCCCCGCTTTCGTCAACACTACTGTGCCACGTCACAGCTGTAAAGAGTTGTTAGATATGCTACAATGGTGACCAGAGAAACACTGATACACATATCATCAAACTAATTCACGTCCAATTTCCCTGTAATTAACACTATCTACTAAATTTATCGCCTGATCAACTAGCTAGCAAAGAGTAAATTTTGATACATGTTTGCAATTGTATTTCTGTTCATATTAAACACAGAAAAACAAGACTGATGTAGAGTCAATTACTACAAGAACAATCAGAGATGTACCAGGTAAATATTTGGTCATTGGGTCCAGATATGTTGTAGTCAATATCTATTTTTTATCATTAATTATATCAAACAACATTTGTAGAGTTCCTAATATGATCTACAGGAAATTAAGCGATTAACAATCAAGGGAAGACAGATATTCAATACAGTTAGCAGACAGTGGGAGCAGCGTTAATGAAGTACATTGTACCTCTTGATCCCATTTAGTATAGTAAAACCTCGTTATATCGCGATTTTGTCGGTATAATGAGTTTGGCTGTATATCGGGTTTACAGTTTTTAACCCACACGTGTTCACACACCAACTGAACCTATATTTAAAAAAGAAAAAATGTTATTTAATGTATCAAATTGTTGAGCGTGCAAAACATACAGCTGATAATCTGGTCAGTCAGCAGTCACGTGTAACAATACAATGCACACACATACGTAACATTCCTGATATCGGGATATATCTGTAATCGACTCAAATTGTCGGTTAAAGAGGTCAAAGTGTGATTTTAACCATTTGTTTTGGGAATATGATGGCAGATGGCGGTATGTGGTTTTGGCCTTGCAACGGGTGCATTAACGTTAGGGAAATCCATTCTGAGGAAATTAATGTAGGTATGCAGGTTTGGCAGTTTAAGAAGTGGCATTACAACGGGGCTTTACCGTACCTCCATATATGTGAGTGTATGTGTGTGTGATGGTGGTGGCACCCCATATATAGGTGTTCTGCTCATTATGGTAGGTTTTTCCATTGGTTCATTTATGGTGCCATACTACTTGAAAACTAACCCAGCCCAAGTTACACTCCAGGCAATGTCAGACAAGCAACTTGAGGGTAAAATGTCTCGCTCAATGATACAAACAAATCTCACCACATCAAACCTACACACTTGTGACCAATTAGCATGCATACTATCAATGTGACATGTGGCCCCATCACAGGAAACACTGTATGGATATCAGTGCGACATGTGGCCCCATCACAGGCAACCCTGTATGGCTATCCATCTGACATTTGGCCCCATCACAGGAAACACTGTATGGATATCAGTGCGACCTGTGGCCCCATCACAGGAAACACTGTATGGATATCGGTGCGACATGTGGCCCCATCACAGGGAACACTGTATGGATATCAATGTGACAGGTGGCCCCATCACAGGAAACACTGTATGGATAACCGTGCGACATGTGGCCCCATCACAGGGAACACTGTATGGATATCAGTGCGACATGTGGCCCCATCACAGGAAACATTATGGATATCAATGTGACATGTGGCCCCATCACAGGAAACACTGTACAGATATCAGTGCAACATGTGGCCCCATCACAGGAAACACTGTATGGATAACAGTGCGACATGTGGCCCCATCACAGGGAACACTGTATGGATATCAGTGTGACATGTGGCCCCATCACAGGGAACACTGTATGGATATCGGTGCGACATGTGGCCCCATCACAGGAAACACTGTATGGATATCAGTGTGACATGTGGCCCCATCACAGGAAACACTGTATGGATATCAGTGCGACATGTGGCCCCATCACAGGAAACACTGTATGGATATCAGTGTGACATGTGGCCCCATCACAGGAAACACTGTATGGATACAAAAATAATCGCAATATCTATCTGGTGTGCAAAGTTGCATTGTTGTTGAAATCACAAAAATCGATACAAATGCCCACTTACTTTTTTCGTCTCCGAACATTCGTGCTAACATACTCGTCGAGTCCTGCTGTGTCAGCGTACTTCTACAATTAAAAAAATCAACAATCAGCAGGAGACTCATAAGGCATAGATCTTAATAGTCCAACATAATAATCATGGAACATTTACATGTTGAAGGAATACATCACTGCATAGACCAATCAGCCAAAACAAGTAACCATAATAGTTCAATAAGATTCAATAGTTTGGAAATAATGTGTAACAGAGGTTATCAATGCCTCCGCTAGGAGTCGAACCCGGAACCTGTGGTTTACTAGTCTTACGCTCTACCAAATGAACTAAAGAGAAATTCTCCCTAGCCGAGTCAGTAGGAAGTGACTGGTATTTTACCAGGGTGACATATACTCCCCCTCCAGGAAAGAACTTGTTCGGAGTTTTCCAGGGGTCATAGCGATTATTTCGTAAGTATCAAAAGTATTTTGTCATATCTCCTGGGTCCCTACCTGGGTGGCAATCTAACAGTGGTTGTTAGTTTTTTTCAATGTCTTCGCTAGGAGTCAAAACCGGTACTTTTGGCTTAGACGCTTCCGAATGAGCTAAAGAGAAATTCTCCTTAACCAAGTCGGTAGGAAGTGGCTAGTATTTTACCAGAGTGAAACATCTTTTATCAAAGTTTTACTCCGTACACAAACAAAAAAGATTACCAAAATCTTACCGTGTGGTGGTGAATATCTTTCCACCGACGTTGAGTGTCACCCATTCAGAGGAATGACAAGCAGAGGTAGTGCCAGAAGACATGTTCCTTTCATGACCCTTTATACATTTTTTGGTACTGTCTGTAGCAGGCTCAGATCCAGGTGTCGTACTTGCTTCTAATATGGTTAAAAAAATCATTTGAATTCAATTTAATATTGAGAACAATAATAACGAATAGCAATACTTGACATGATAAACAAACTGAAGTACAGTACATGTTTAAGGAGAACAAATGAAAAAGAGAAGAATTTAAAACAAAAATGTGATTGGACATTCAGAGAAATGATTTCTTGTCTTGTACTGACATTAAAATTTGCATGTTTAACAACCAAAAGCTACAGTTGGTAATGTCACCCAAAACACATGTATTTCTTCAAGATTCATCCACCCAAACAATTTTGATTTTGCAAAAACTTCAACTGGTGATGAACAACATAATCTGATTAAAAAAGCCATTGAAGGTGTAAAGGTTCTGAGTTCTTACTCTTGAAAGGTTCTCCAGCAGATACATAAAACACGTCATCGTCTCTGCAAAATAAATAAAATAAATTAATTAAAGGATTTTTTCCCTTTCAAAGAGCTGACATTTAAAGAAAAGATCAAAAAATAATATTTTACATATATTTTAGCATAACATTACATAAAAAGGTATATAAAAGCTCATATTAAGTTGACAATTTCATACCTATGTAAAGAAAAGAAGTCTCTCTTTTAAGAAACATTCGTTTGATATCCACAAAAAGGAAATAAAAGTGACACCTTTAGACAGTTGTGGGACCGCACATCGCACCTAAACTAGGGTGCGCACATCATGCATACATCATTCACACATTGTCTGCACATCGTCTACACGTGGTGTGCACAACTGGGCGATTTAACAATCGTTCGCCCTGTTGTGCTCTTTTCTCAACACAACTTAGCGATTTGGTACAATTTGTTGATCAATAATACGGAATGAAAAAAAAAAACGGCAGGATAAAGTACACTGTATATATCAGTGTAATTTCTCACCACAATAACTAAGATAATGTGCAATATTACAATGCGTGTTACACAGTATTACAGTGACCGTTATACTGGCAAGAATGGGTTTGACTCCAATTTAATAGAACAGGTAAATAACAATTTGATGAGTGACTGGAGTTTTACCTGGCCTGTGCCTGACACATAGAGCTGATTTGTGATACCGTACCGTACCGTTATGAAAACACAACTGGATGTTTAGTATTTGTTTTTTGCATTTGGTTTGGTCAATAGCTCCCCTTCACATTTGATTTTCACACCCCGGCGAGTTACGTAAGTGCCCCAGGTGAGGAAAACTACGGTCCAGATACCTGTACAAAGTGGCTATATGTTAACCTGTATCCGGGCTTGTGTGTAATTTAAAATGGGTCGATTAAGTAAGGTCGTTTAAAGAACACTGAAACACCATTTCTAAATTTAAGAAAGTATAGACACAAACATAAGTTTATAGATATAGCTTTAATATAGGAACATACTTAAAAATCAAGTTTATGTGTTTAAACACCAAACTGTATCTATTGTTGAACCATTCCTCAATTTACACCAACCATGATTTTTATCGCAAAACATGCATCCATCGTGCGCACATTTGTGAGCAAGCAATGATAGTCCAATTTTTTATCGTTCACATATCATGCACACACCATGCACACACCGCACATCGTGTAATGTTGTGCCATTCCCACAACTGTATGTAGTGTAAAGTTATTGTCAATTGCAACAAAACAAAATAAAACAGAAACATACAAAAATCCAACAATTAACTATCAACTAACAGCACATCTTGGACAATTGTACAGTGACACAGGTACAGTTGTACAGTGACACAGGTACAGTTGTACAGTGACATAGGGACATTTGTACAGTGACACAGGTACATTTGTACAGTGACACAGGGACAGTTGTACAGTGACACAGGGACAGTTGTACAGTGACACAGGGACAGTTGTACAGTGACACAGGTAGAGTTTTACAGTGACACAGGTAGTTTTACAATGACACAGGTACAGTGACACAGGTACAGTTGTACAGTGACAAAGGTACAGTTTTACAGTGACACAGGTACAGTTGTACAGTGACAAAGGTACAGTTTTACAGTGACACAGGGACAGCTGTAGAGTGACAGGTGGTACAGTGACACAGAATTATGCAACTCAGCTTATAAAATTAAAAGCATGGGACATACATCTAATTGACAGATCACTGAAATTTAAAATTGCCCTTTTATGTTTATAACTCAATTTGAAATAACCATTCTAAACATTTTCGGTACCAACATTTCCCACACAATATAAACATTTATTTTTGATAACTTTAATGTTCAACAAAGTTATAACTACTGTAAGACCACTAACCTAATCAAAAGTACATCGTCTAGGATTCCTCCTTGAGGACTGTAGATAACTTTGGCATCAGATCCAAGCTTTTTGCTGGCTTCAACTAAAATGTCCTCCAATGTTGTACCGTGGGTCACAGCAACAAGCTGAAAATAAAAAACAGTTGCTTTAAATAAAATTCTTTTTAATCCTTCCACCACTGTGGACCACAATGGACTTATCCAGATAAATGTATGGTAAAGTCTACTAAAGCTACCTAGGGGTGAAAGGGTTAATTCATAAGCAGCATAATGCTTGAATCTCCATCTTGACAGGTTTTAACAGATATATGTATTGTACACTCAACAAAGGATTGTCCACCAATTTCTAAATTCAATCATGAGTCACACAGATATGCATAAAATGTGAAGGCTTTCTTCATAATTAGGTACTGGATTTCTTCATAATTAGGTACAGACTTTTTTCATTAAACGTTTAGATAGAATATCTCTCGGGGTCATTCACACAGACTTCCCTAATGTGCCTACAGATGTCACCGCCTCAGTTGAGGACTCTGAGGAGAAAACTTATTCTTGCCTCAGGCGTCAAACGGAACCCCCAACACTGCCGACTACGCTACCCCCAGGACTACGGGCCACAGAAGAGAACAAAGGGGCTCTCAGAGATTGGCTTCTTGACTATTATGGTTCCACAACCTTCAATGTCTGTGAGCATCAACCATTGCCTCTTATGAAGGGTGAGCCCTTACAACTCCATGTTGATCCCAAATTGACGCCGGTGGCAATTCACAATTCAAAGGTTAGTTTTTCTTTTCATTTTTCTCCCTGGTCATGTCAAATGCCATGCTGCTATATGAATATGCAACTTGTGATTTCAGGCAAACCAGAGTAAGGATAAGGTAACATTAGGCACTGGAGTCGTCCCTTAAAATTACACAAAAACTTAACAGAATTCAAATAGCATGGACAGCTCCTATTATTTTTTTCAATTCCTTCAATATATGCTATATTTATCCCTTCATAGGGATCACTCGTTTTCCTATCCTTGTCTGCTGGATATACAATATAACTGATCTACTTGATGGTGAAGTGGACATAAAACCACTTAATCAAACAGATGAGGTCTCAATTCTGATCATCATATCAAATACTAGTACGGAAGGCAAGATAGGCTGCACTGAGAAGACACCATTCCGACTCTGGGTAAATGATAGTTCCACAGTACATGAGTACCTGGGTTGTTGGCGTCCTATAGAGGGATTCACCTGATAGTGTCACAACTTAGTATTCAGATGATATATATAGGGCAAAGAAGTAATTCCAACAGTGTGGACAAGTTTAGGTTGTCAAAATTTCGGAACGTTCCGCTCCTTTTTCAAGACACAGTGAAACAGAACAGTTACATGTGCATATACATCATATTACAAGAAGATAAAACTGATATACTATAATTGAAAATATAGCTATTATATAACCAATAGTTCCCTCGGCTGAATACAGACGAAGGCAGCAATTAAGCTGAGAGCATCGCGGACAAGGAACGCTGATGTAGAGGACCTATTCTTGCACAAGATGCACTATCACATAAAGTGAGTCAATGAGAGATATCAAAAACGTGGAACATGTGCATGTGGAAATCAGGCCTGGTAAATGTGAAAAATCTCAATTTGCTACGGAATGTCTCATATATATATAGTACTGCATGAACTAATACATTTTTTTTGTACTGTTTTACAATGTTTATTGTCATTCATTTAAGTTACCATACATGTTGTGTATCTGCTGCTGTAATCAAACTTACATTAAACATGTATACGTACTGACAACCCAAAGTGAGAACCGAAGTGCCGAGTGCAAGTGGTTACAAATTACCATATCACATATATTGTAACCATGATCATCCCCATGCAAGGGTTTCAACCTATCATATTTTGTCTAACCTTACAACACTTCAAGCTCATGTCGAGGATTAAACAGACATTTAACCACTACAGGGTACATGTGTAGTAGGACGAGGAATGGTGATAAAGATAGTGCTAGCTGTCACTGGGGCTCAAACCTGCGACCCTTGGCTCTCCAGTCCGATGATACCTCTGATGATCATGAGCTAATGGGAAATTCCCTACAGCTGACGCTTGTTAGGCAACCTATAACATCTCCTCTAAATTCTGTTTGTTTATACACATTGTATATATGTTATTAGACAAGTGTTCATTACTGAATTGTTTTGAGAAGCAAAACTTTTTTCATTGACATGTATACAGATGCAGGACAAACAAAAACATTTATACATACACAAGTTTATATACACGTGTGCATGATGGATGGTGTATATTGTACATTATTTGCAATCACTAAGCTTACAATATGTTTTTTTTTTGTATGTTCAGCTCATGTCAGCGTGTACATGCATCTTGTATCTTATTAAATCAAAACTGAGACACTCTGCATCATTCTTTGACATTTAAGAGTCTGATCAGTCACGACAATATCCACGTTATTGAAAACTGCATGTACATGTATATATGGGCCGGCGCCTGGCCTGATGAGTTTGGCATGTTCGTTTATAGCTAAAACAGCATATATGTGAAATAAGCAAACCTTTCCGTCCAAAGCTGATCCATTACGAAAAAGAACTATTCTCTTCATAGTTGATTCAAATCATTTTGACAAGCTGCCTGCAATCGATATCTCACCATCGTTTACGACTTAATAATAAGAGGTCAAACGGATGTTCGATCTAGGCATGCGCAGAGTTTAAAAATGAAAGTAGCTCATGTTTATTTATAGAAATACTATATTTGGAGATATAAAAATAGATTATATATATATATATATATATTACTTCACTTGAGACAGGCACACCCTGCAGCAGATTTAACACCAAGACAAGGAACAAAATATTGGCTTCTGTATTAATTATGTACGTGATACCACTGAATTAGATTATCTAAGTCCGTGGCCGTGATACAATGTACAATGTATACACAAATTGTACATATACATAATTATAGTAATTGTATATTGATTAATTTGATTAAAAATATCAATTTTGTGAAACTATTCATGAAGCACAACCAAGAAAATGTTTATGTGTGACCTTTCGATGACTAGTCTACTTAATTAAGGTATGTACTTTGTCATATTCATCAGACAAATGACCAGTGAAGCGTACGTACAATGTACGCATACACGTAAGGTTAAANACGTTACAAATGTCTGAAATACACATATGCTATACTGATACGGGTATGTTTATGTGTGTTGTGACCCGTATCAGTATAGCATAATGTGTATTTCAGACATTTGTAACGTGACCCTGTGTACAATGTACGTACAGTGTATACACGTAAGGTTAAAATATATGTACGAGTTGTCCACAAATCGCGATGTCGATTCGGCTACGCTGTAAGCGTCTGTACAATAAGTTGTCATATATATACCGATGTGACTCGATTAAGCTACGCTTTGTGCGAGAGTCTTTAAATTGAGCCCCCTCATCTCTATTTAGAACTGGCCCACTGCGGCGTATCCAGATGTCTTCCTTTATCTGTCGCTTGAACCAGGGACAGTATATACTATACGTCCCTGCTTGAACAGACTGCGCATTTGCTCTTTCTGTCCAGTTCATTGTACATTGAGTTGTCTCAGTCAATCACATGATTTATGTGTGGTATGCAGTGGCGGATCCAGAGTTTTTTTTGGGCTTCAAGAAACCCCCCTACATTGAGAATTTTCTTTAAAAATCACGTGTCTTCACCATTTCCCTCAAATTTCCCCACATGGAACCCCCCTCCCCTGGAAATTTGGAACTCCCGATGCGTCGCAGTTTTTGCATCCGATTTTGTATACGAATTCTGCGACGTTTTCTTTAGGTGTTTTATCCTTAGGGTGTACTGTGAATTGCTATGCCATGTACACCCGAAAACCATCCAGAGGATCGATATATCCTCTGGATAGTTTTCGGATATATCTTTTATAATCATCATCATCATCTTCCTAACTAGGACTTAATTAACTCCGTGTGGAGTGTGTTATTCCAGTGACATGCTGCAAGCATGCCCAAACCACCATTTAAAAACTTTAATATTTTTGTAATTTTAATATATAATATATAAATCAGCAGCCCAGGACCTCACGGCTTTTTTTCAGCAGATCCATGTTGGTAATAAGGGACCTGAAAATCGGGAGTTCCTATACCTCCTACATGTATATGTTATTAGGTAGGCTATTCCATAGGGTAATATATCTTGGTAGGAAACTCTGTTGGTATAGATCAAGCTTTGCTGGGATCTGCCTATAGTTGGTACGTGTACCTCTTGTTCTGGAGTTGGTAGGCTTGAGGTGTTGTCCGATGTCCACATCCACCTTTTTGTTGATGATATTGTGGAACATGACTAGTCTCGCTCTCGCTCTCCTCTGCTCCAGTGTATCCCAGCCCAGTTTCTGTAGGATGGCGGACATGCTCCCAGGATCCCTTGATCTGTAGTCGCCGCTGACAAACCTCGCTGCTGCCGAATCCGCCGCGCGTATCTGGACTCCCTCAAGACTTTGGTGAGGGTCCCATACTGTGGTGGTATATTCCAGAGTGGGCCGTACAAGCGTGGTAAATGAACTTGCATTGACTTGTTCGGGGCAAGAGCGGATATTCCGTCGCAGGATACAACTGACCTCAACGCTTTGGAAACACAGGTGTTAACGTGCTCACTCCACGACAAGTCACTGCTCAGCTTTACTCCCAGGTATTTGGTGGATTTTGCAACCTGCAGCTGGTGTCCATGGAATAAGTATGGGATTTTTAATTGCTTCTTCTTCCTGGTAATATGCATGGCGATGCATTTCTCGGGTTTGAATGTCATCTGCCACACATCTTCCCATTGCTGTAACCGCTGTAGGTCCTGCTGTCCTTGATGATGTTGATGATGCGATAGACTATGCAGTCATCTGCAAAGAGCTGCACTTCCGATTTCACATGGTTTAACAAGTCGTTAATGTACAGCAGGAATAGGAACGGCCCAACCACCGTCCCCTAAGGGACTCCAGACCGTACCTCGGCCTCGGACGAGTTGTTTACTTCGATAGTAACGAGTTGTTTCCTGTTGTTAAATAAGTCTTTGAACCATCCGAGGGTGTTGTTCCGGATCCCATAATGGTGTAGCTTCTGTAGCAATCTCTGATGGGGGGTACCTTGTCAAACGCTTTGAGGAAATCAAGTAAAACCATGTCCATCTATTTTCCTCCATCTAAGCCTTTGGCAAGCTCATGTATGGTCTGCATGAGTTGGGTTTCACAGGATCTCTTCCTCCGAAAACCGTGTTGTTCATCACTCAGTATGTTAAGTTGGTCAAGGTACGGTGTTGCATGACTGAATCACGGAGGACGTGTTTAATCAGTTTGGAACAAACTGCTGTCAGGGAGACTGGCCTATAATTGGCAGCATTTGAACAATCCGTTTTCCTAAAGATAGGGACCACGTGGGCCATCTTCTAGTCGTCCGACACAGTCGAGCTGTCCAGGGAACACTGGTAGATTCTCCCGAGGGCTGGATCAAGTTCAGTGGCTATTTCCTCCAGGAGTCTCGTGGGTATACTGTCTGGTCCAGTAGCTTTGTGAGGCTTGAGTCCTTTCAGCAGCTTCTCATCTCCTCGGCTGGTAATTTGTATATCTGGCATGGATGGTGTGGTGCTGTCTCTCAAGTATGGTAGGTTGGTGGTGTCCTTCTCTGTGAATACCGACTGGCACTGAGCATTTATTATCTCGGCCTTGGTCTTGGAATCACTATACAGCAGTCCATCAGAGTTCCGGAGTGGAGCCGCTCCTGTCGACACCAGCCTCCGGCTTTTGATTAAGCCCCAGAGTTTTGGGGGATTTTGCTGACCGGCCGGACTGATGATGTCCGCGATGTACTTGTAATAAGCATTGCGGATTTTGCGCTGTGCTTCTGCCTTGATGGTCTTGTATCGGGTCTGATCTCTCTCCCGTTTCGTAGCCGACATTTTCTTGTAGGCTGGACGCAGTAGTCTCTTTGTCTCTATATTCCTCCAGGGGTTCCTGAAGCATGATCCTGACAGATTGTTTGGGATGTTACTCCTCTGGATGGTTGCGAAACCGTGGCGGAAGAATGTTCACATCTCCTTGACACTAGGGAAAACGGTCAAAAGGAAGGTCTCTACAAACCCTGCTGCATCATGATGTAGTCCCTGGGTATCTGCTTGTCCCAAAAATAAATGGTGCGCCTTGGTGGTTTGATGCGACAATTGGGGGTCTTTGAATCGATCAGTACTATTCCGTCTTTGCGTATTGCAAAGTTATCTTCTCTTGAGAGCAGGTATTGATTGTTACGTCATTGGTTCGTGTGAGAAAATTACGTCGTTTTCTCAAAAATTGATGACGTTACTCTCACAAAAAAATGACGTAACATTCAATACCTGCTCTCAGGAGAAGATAACTCTGCAATACGCAAAGACGGAAAATCATGATCGCCGACTCCTGGAATGGTCTTACATTTCACCACTAGTGATGGATTGCTGGTCAAAAACAGGTCCAGGATGAGATCTTTACGCGTTAGAATATTCACAATTTGCTCTATCGAACATGTGTTACATGTAGTCATGTTCAAGTAAATGTTGTTCATATCCCTTGGGTACTGGTTCCCCTGCACTGTGAGGGTTGACCAGTTGATGTCATGTAGGTTGAAGTCACCTCCTAGCCAGAACTGACTGTTAGGGTGTTGATATCTGAATTACCTAACTTCGTTGACCACTTCCTCGGTATGTGGTTTTGTTATTTTATCTGGAGGTCTATAATATGAAGTGACAATGAGGGATTGCCTCTTTGATGTAGTTATTTTAACACTTATGAGTTCAGATGATTTGCTGGTGAAGACGAGGGAGCTTATGCGATTCTCCTTGACGGCAGTTAGAACACCTCCATGACAGTCTGTTGTTCTGTCCCTTTGAGAGGTCGAGTATGTCCTTGGTATAACCTCTGAAGAACTCACCTCGTTGTGGAGCTAAGCTTAAGTCTCTGTGCCGATGATAATGTCGGGATCACAATTGTCAATCATTACCTGCACGTACGGTTCTTCGTTTTTTATACTCTGGAAATTAACGACCATTGTACGAAGACTTTTTATATTGGGAGGGCCTTAATGTTTTTTGTAGCCTTTGGTGATGGGGTAGCTATCGGTGATTGAAAATTGAAATTTCTAGATGTTGGAGATGTCATGTTAAGCACACTATTACTATTAAGGCTGTTAAATGAGTTGTCATTTAGGTTGGTGATGATGGACCTGTAGACTGTTGAGTGGTTCATTGACTGAATACATGACCACACTGTTGATTTGTTGGCAAACACATTATACTCGTTATTAGACATTTCCATACAGGAGGAGTAATACCAATGATCACAATTGTCACACACCAGTCCTCTTGGCCCCATTTAACAGCTTATAAATCACATACTTGACATGGGTACTTTGGCTTGTAGGGACCAGGGTTTGGTCCAATGTGTCGGCATATCAACAATAACAGTCGTAGATATCTGCGGGAGTCTGTGATGTGGGCCGACCCTAACATGTGTTTTATGCCTTGAGCCAGTAGTAGATTGATGTTAAATGCTCTCTCTGGGTTAGATTGGAGAGGCATGCTGGTACTGATGTTCTAGGGGTTATCACGGAGATAGGGGCCGACTGGTGGCTTACTATCAGCCTTAACGAGACGTCGGCGATCTG